CTACCATCTGCTACTCCTTTCCCCCTCTCTTCTGCCTATCACTCAAGCAAGTTCTCTTGTCACCCAGATGTATCAAACAGAAGCATCAGTACCACCTATGCCCATTAACAAGAGTCAAATCGTTCCAGTGCAAACCATCACCTTCAAGAAGGTTAGTCTACTGCTTCCAAGAAAATATACGCTTACCCAGAACAAGATCCCATTCATCCATCAGATTATCTTCCTCCCAAACAAGATAGACACTTCAATTACTCCTCATCACGAAACAGATACTTACAAGAAGATCGCTTTTCTACAATAGGCTCTCACGTTTGTCTTGACAAAGACAGTGCTTTCCCCCAACATTGCATGAAATGAACCATTCCCCACTTGTTCTTCCAGCAAAACCTTTTTCAGCCATCGACCTCCACCACTGCCACCTCTTCCCCTCATCCCCCATCTCCCGCAATGACCTCTCCTACCCTGGAACCTTGCTGGGAACACACCTTCCCGCAAACCCGAGACTACCGCGACCCAGGGAATTCTGCGAGTCGCAATTTTGTTGCTCTGCCAAGGAAAGGTGGAGAATTGATCTCTCCGGGTGGGAGGGGCTGCCTTACCTGAGAATCCTGGTATCCCTGGAGTAGCAGGAAGTAGGGACGGTTGCTGGGGGCCTGAATGAGGCACTGGGTCAACTGATCGAAGTCGCCAGGGTCTGCAGGTCCGATTTGGGCGTCGGCTGCCCCTGGGGCCATGCTAAGTGCCTGCTGCCTGCGTTCCTGCTGCCGCCGCCGTCGACCCTGCAGGCTGAGCTCCGACACGCTGCGCCGCAGGGACAGGTTTTCCGAGCGCTCTTTGCCCCCGGACCCAGCGGGGGCCCCTGACCCGGACCCCGGGCCAGGACTGGCCAGAGCCGCCCCTCCGGACGCCGCCCGGGAGCGGTTCTTCTGTGGTCGCCACGAGGGGGCACCCGTGCCTACGGAGAGACCAAGAGGAATGAACCAGAGACTCCAAAGAGACAGAGACAGGCTAGAAGCGCTGAAGATTATAAAGGGACAAAGAACTGACGACGGAGTGGCGAAGCTGCTACCCCCATTTAGTTTTTGGTACATGCTGTCCCCTGTACCTGGAACGCACTTCCCGCCTGGCTCCTGCCCACCTCGCAGTTTTCAGCTCAGAAATTCCTTCTTTTAACTAGCTTTTGGGGGGCGCCTACTATGTGCTGGGCACTGTCCTAGGCACTAGGAACTTGGCAGTGAACCAAGAAGACCCTGTGCTCATGGAAACAGAAATCACTTCTGGAGCACCCTTCCCTGACCTTCCAGGTCGCAGCAGAGACGGGCACAACTGGACATTCTGGGCTTCGTCTGCACCCAACGCAGTCCTGGCTCGTGGTGGGTGATTAGTGGAAATGAGACCAAGGAATGAACTAGTGATTTGTGCCTCCCTGGGCTGTGAAATCTAGGAGGGGGGGGAATCTCCTCTGTCTTGTGGTCACTGTATTCCCCCAGGGGCCTAAATAAAGTGTGGCCCATAGTAGGCGCTCAACGAATGCTTTTTTTGAGGGGGGAGGGCAGAAGAGACAGTGATGCTTGGAATCGCCATTCTTTATTAGGCAACTACTATGTCCCAAGCCCTGGGTTAAAACCCTTTTATACATTATTTGATTTCATCTTCACCTACAGTTTTGCAGAGCTGAACCCACAACAGAACAGATCGGAATCTAAGCCAGAGTTCAAAGCCCAGGAGGTTGAGTGCTACACCACTCTATCTCCCAAAGGGAGACTCAGCAACAGAAAAGCGTTAGAAGGCTCTGTGAGCAGCCCCTTAGAGCCAGGCTCCATCCCTGCCCGGTCCTGCCTGGTCCTGCTCTGCACTTATTATTTCACTCGTGGGAAGGCTTCCTGTTCCAGGTCCCTCCTTCTCAAAGGCCAGGCCCACCTACTCACTGGCTGGTGTTACCTCTTCATTTCCCACTCACACTCACAGTCTCCCACTCACACTCAGCAGCCAGCCTAGACTAGGGCCACCTGCTCCAAGGTCCGCTGTTCCAAAGCTTCTGCTTTTTTTTTTTTTTAATTTTTTTTTTAATGTTTTATTTATCTCTAGGAGAGAGAGAGAGACAGCGTGAGCAGGGGAGGGTCAGAGAGAGAGGGAGTCACAGACTCTGCAGTCAAATGCTCTACCACTGAGCTATACCCCCTGGAGAGTCAGAGTCTGAAACAGGCTCCAGGCTCTGAGCTGGCAGTCAGCACAGAGCCCGACGCGGGGCTCGAACCCACGAACCCCGAGATCATGACCCGAGCGAAAGTCGGACGCTTAACCAACTACGCCACCCGGGCGCCCCTCAAAGCTTCTGCTTTTTTTTGGGGGGGGGGAGGTCACGGGGCTCGAACTCAGGAACCGTGGGATCATGACCCGATCGAAAGTCGCAGGCTTAACGACTGAGCCACTCAGGCGATCGTAAAGCTTCGTTCATTTTAGGCCCCAATCGAGCAGGCCATTTCTTCACTCTCCAGGCTCCTCCCCCATATAGGCTTAATCTACATCGGCCCTGCCTCTCACGAACCCCTTCAATCTATTGCTCTGAGGGGCGTCCTGCCACGTGGACGACCACCGCCACGCAACACCCCTGGCTCCGAGTTACCGCTCATCAGCAGGCCCCACCCCAGCATCACAAGCCCCGCCCATCGACCCTGGAAGTAACTCTGGTCCTGCCCCAGCCCCGCCCCCGACTTGACCCGGCCCTTTAGGCTCCTCCCATTCCCTCCCCTTTATCCCGAGCCCCCCCCCCCGCCCAGCCTACTCCCTGGAATCCCCAGCCCCACAGATCCTGGCGCACCCAGCCCCGCTCCCAAGCCCGGCCGGTCCCGCCCCCAGGCCAGGCCCCGCCCCATCCCCACAGGCCCCGCCCCGGGAGCCCCGCCCGCAGGCTCACCGTCGCCGTCCGCGGCCCCGAAGGCCTCCTGCTCCAGGCGGCGCGCCTCCTCGCGGCCGCGCAGCTCGAAACGCCGCGCCCAGCCGGGCCGCGCTCGCCACAGCTCCTGCACCAGCAGCGGCCGCTCCGAGTCGCCCAGCACGCGCAGGTGCTCCGCGCGCCACTCGCAGCTGCCCACGCCGCCCGCCGCGGGCCGGCCCAGCGCGTCGCACAGCGCGAAGGCGTCCACGCAGCTGCTCTCGCCGGGGCCGCCGCCGGGGCTCCCCGCCAGCCCGTAGCGCTCCAGCGCCTCGGCCACCAGCTCGCGTGCCGTGGAGCGCGCAGTGGCGAGCACGCTCTTGTAGTTGGCGCCCGACGCCAGCCCGGCGCCAAAGATCTTGAGGACCCCCGGGGGGGCCGTGGCGCGGGCGGCCAGCGGGGGCTCCGGGGCCACGCCCGCCGCCAGCTCAGGCAGCTTCTTCTCGCTGGCCCAGCGCTGAGCGCCCCCCGGAGTCCCGGCGCCTCCCGCGCCGCCGGACCCCGTGGTCCCGGTCCCCGAGCCCCGAAAGAGTTGGGAGATGCGCTTGGCGCGGCTCCCCGAGGCTCCCCCGGCCGCCTTGACCGCGCCCACTCGCCGCAGCTCCACGTGCGGCGGCGGCGGCGGCAGCGGCTCGCTGCTGCGGCTCCCCGTGTCCGAAGACGACGACCTGGGAACCCGCCGGGGAGCGGCGAGGCGGGAAAGAGGCCGAGAAAGACAGGCCAACATGGAGGCAGATGGAAGAAAACGAAGGAAGGGGGTGGGCAGAGACCCAGACGGAGGGATCGGAGACCCAGGGAGGAAGGGATGGGCAGAGAGACCCAGAGAGTGACAGAGACCCATTGAGAGGGGACAGAGATCCAGAGAGAAAGAGCAATGGAAATCCAGGGAAAGAGAGGGACAGAGACACAGATAAAGAGGGAGACAGAGACCCACAGAAGGGCGAGAGGTGCGAGTGTACAGATACGGAGTTGGGCAGAGGCCAGAGTCAGAGAGAGACACACAGAGAGAGAAATTAATAAAGGCGAGGAGCACAGAAGGAAATTGCAAGAGGTAAGCAGGGAGGGGAGGAAGGAAGGTGAATCAAACCCTCGCCCCTCTATCCCCATCGCGGTGTCGGTGGCACCAGGGCCCATCACCAGCCCCACTCTTCCCCCACCGGACTCCGAGAACTTTGTGGCCCACTGTCTGTCTCCTCCAGCCGGCCACGTCTCCTGCCTATTCTGGACAGGACCTGGAGTCAACCCTTGGAGCCCCTGGCATTACGCAGTGCAGGGACTGGGTAAGAAACGGGGGCAGTTGGGAGGTAGTTGGAGCAGGGACAGGAGTCTGGAGGAGGTGGGCACTCACTTAACAGAGGCCGCGCTGGGCCAGCGCCGTCCCAGCTTGGCCAGCTGCTTCCTGGGAGAATTGATCCACAAGCCCACGGGGAGATGGAGCTTCCCAAAGCGGGGGCTTCCGCCCTCCTTCCGTTCACCAGATAGCATGGCCCTAAGGAAGGATGGGTAAGACCCCAACTCCTGAGGCCCTGAGTAGTGGGGTTGGGGTGGGAGGGGTTGGGGAACAGACGCCCTAGTCTGGGAGGAAGAGAAGGGTGGGAGCCTAGCTCCTGGGAGCTGGGACGGGAGATGGCGGGGGACTGGCCACTGGGTCTGCGGGAGGAGGGACTCCTGGGTCCCCGGTTCTTACCGTGCTTCAGCTCCCAAAGGCACCCCGGGGCCCTGGCTCCGTTGGCCCTGGTTGCTTCCTGACCCCGCTGTTCCTGTTCAGGCTTGCCTCTGCCCCAGCTCCCAGCACTGGGTGGGGGACAGGAAAAGACGAGAGGAAACCCGGCAGGAAGAGCTGGGAGGGGGCGTCCTGTGAGGGGACCCGGCCTAGGGGAGGAGATCTGGGTAGGGCTGGCCCTTCCCCAGTCCTTGATTCGGGAATTACATCTCAGCTAGTTGCGCACTGCCTTGACACAGGGCACGGCGTCCCAGTCTCTCCTAGGACGCGAGAGCAGCCCCAGAGTCGCCTCCGGAGAAACCCAAAGGGAGGACCAGACTGGAGGAAATGAGTCCGATATTTAGACAACCAGATAAATCTTTATTTGCCCCTTGGTACTGTGGCCTTTTCCTTCGGTTCCCTCGGAACCTGCCTTTGTGACAGCGGGCTCTGGGACAGCCGACTCTCTGGAACCCCGTCATGTGGGGCAGCGGACTTGTCCGCGCGGAGCCAGGACTTTATGGAATCCATCACCGTCCCATACCGAAAGCAAAGGACGCTGGGGGAAGGTGGGGTGCAAATAGCGGAACCAGATGAGGTCCTGAGTGAGGGACACCCCCCCCAGCCTCCCCATATTTGATCTTATTCTAACAATGACCCGAGTTGCGCCACCCTAAGTAAGCCCCACGCCCTTTTCTAAGCCCCACCCCCCAATGGACCCACACCGGCTTTAAGAAGTTGGTGACCCCGCCCCTCGCTCCAAACCCTGCCTTCTTCAGGGGGCCTCTCACGCAGTGGTGAAGCCCATTATCAGAAACACAAAGCCCCAGGTCAGCATCTTTAACAAAAAGCTTCTCGGCTCGTTTTCAGGCTTCGGACACTCTGACCGACTGAGGGATCCCAACCGCTGGTTCTGGGTTCCAGTGTTGGGTTTCGGTATCTCTTCAATGACTCTTTCAGGCAACACTGAGAGAGAGAGAAGGAGCAGTCCTGGGAGGGCACCTGGGAGGGCCCGCTGTGGCCCAGGCAAGCTGTCTCCCCCCCAACCTTCCCCAAGAGCCAGGCCTTCCAGGAGATAATCACGCCCCTCGGGGCCTGAAGACGGGTCACTGGGAGGGAGGACACACACACACACAGGGGCAGGAAGCCACACCCCCGTGGCCTGAAACCTGAAACCGCACGCCAATAGGAAGTTATGCCCCCAGGCCACGCCCTGAAGCTGACTGTCCCCCAAACCCAGAACCCTATATTCAACACTTCTGTCGACTCCCTGGCACTGACCTGTGACTTGAAAATGGATGACGGTGGCTGGGCCGGATCGCACAGTGCCCAACTCGCAGCGGTAGTTACCTGCATCCTCTGGCTTCACCAGTCGTTTGGTCATTGTGGGCCGTCTCCCCTTGTACAGCAAGGTCTCAGAATTGCTTCCCCAAACCTAGACCCAAGCTCAATGTGTCACAGAGGCCTGGGGAATTCAGGACTTGGGGTAGTCCAAGTGTGAGGGCATCACGGGACCTCAGTGGGGGGAGACGGGAGTCCAGGGTACACTGGTAAGGGCATGGGATCCCCAGGGATCAGTAGAATTCAAACCTGGAAGGTCATGGGTCATAGGGATTGTGGGAACAAGTCTGTGGATACAGGGGTCGGGAGCTCACACTAGTCTAAAGGACTTGGGGGTGAAGGGCCCCACCCTGTAAAAGCTGTAATTGGTCAGGCCTTCAGATAATTTATGCCAGTTGAGCTCACAGTCCAGAATCATGTCTTCCTTCTCATGGACGTTGATTTGGCGCACTGGGGACAGGGGGATAAGGTCAGGTGCTTCTTCAAGTTTCTCCGCCCTCCCTCAACTCCCTCTACTTGGTTTTGGCCCCGCCTTTTCTGGTGGGCGGGCTCCAGTCTCCGCCCTCTATAGGCCCAGTCTCTCCTCTGACTCCACCCGTCTTGCGCCAACCCCACCAGCGGGTCCCAGTCTCTCACCCCCGCAATCTCTGGATTTTCTACAAGCGTGAAGCTGCTTTTTACAGTTACTGCACCAGATCAGAAGCTGCAACATTGTACCTGAAGGGGCAGGATCATGGCTGTATTCGCCCTGAGAGACGAAGCTGCACGGAGAGGGCAGGGTCAAAGTCTGGGGCGGGGTCAGGTGCCTAAACCCTGGAGGTCAGCCTCAGGGGCGGGGCTGGAAGACAATCCTGCCGCTAGAGGGATCCAACCAGGCGCCGTAAAGAGCGCACAGTGAATGTGACCCGCTGCCCAGCAAGTCCTCGGTGTAGGACTCTTGGGGACCAGGAGCCTCTCAGACGTGGGGAATGAAGAACGGTCGGGACACAAAGCAAGAGGAGAAAGGCTGGGTATTCACGGGGCTACGAAGAGGGAAAGAAAGCTAGTTCACATAATCAGAACTCACCACATTTGTTGGGACAAAAATCTGCATCAGGAGTAAGAAAAACAATTAGTATCAGATTTCTAACCTAAAGGAGATGAGAGACGGGACGAAGGAATAGGTTGGGGTTTGGGCTCTTGGTTTGGAGGGAGGAAGGACCCATTACCTGGATCTATCGGTCCAAGAGAGGACTGGGTATACAGGAGAGGTGAGGGGCTGGACATAGAGAAACAGGGGGGGTGGGGACAGAGACACTGGGACAGTTGGAGGAAGGGGCTGTGGTCCCTGATGGACTCCCTTCCTCCCTCACCCTTTCTTTGGAACCGAGCAATGTAGCCCTGAAAGGCTGCCTTTTCCAGAGTCAACATCCAGGAGAACTCCTTCACGAAAGTGTCATCTGAGAAGGAGCAGGGTGACACGGAGTGTTTCCCCTCCCCCTCTCCCCCCGGAGTGAGGTACAGGAAGTTTCCCTCTGTCTGAAGAGATTGGCATTCCATGTTTGGGACGTCTCAGGGAGGGACAATGAAATTGAATGACCACTTAATAATGCTGGCCGCTGAGCTAAGCGAGGGCTGGGTGCAGGCCCTGTTATGATTCATGTTACAGGAGACACCCTGGGGAATCCCTCCCTCAAGGCCACAGAGCTAGAGGAGGACCGGGCCAGAATTAGAACAGAGGAAGGTGGGCCCCAGAGCCACTACCAGACCCATCCTCACCAAAAATCATCACTCTAAAAGATTCTGGAGTCCCTCCCCTGGTCCCTCTGTGCATTTACCTGTTACACCGCTGTTTCTGATAAGTCTCACACTCCTCAAAAAACTCAACACTGACGTTTCCATTGTGGCCTCATCTAGAAGGATAGAGGGGACGCGGGGAGGGGAGACAGAAACTCAGATTCCAAGACTTAGTGTCTCATTGGCTCAGCTAGTGTTAAAAACTACAATACCCATGTGGCTACTGGGCAAGGCTAGGGCTCTAAAGAGATTGCCCGCCCGTTGCCTTCTGGGAGTTGTAGTTTTTTACATAAAATTGCAGGGTAAGGGGTAGAACAGTATATTGGCTAGCCCTGGGGAAGGCCTAGAATCTGCATCCCAGTCTTCTCCATTCACGAACCTACTAGACTCTGGCTCCAGCCCTTCCCTCCCTTACCCCCACCGCCACCGCCCCTAGCATCCTAGCCCCAAACTCCTTATTTCCCACAACGCTGGATTCCCTTACTCTACCCTGCCCTCACCGATAACCCCCATAAAGGTATCCTCTAAATATGGCAGATCCCGGAAATTCCTCACGGTTTGTCTTATCGTTTCCATCACTTCTCTGTGACGCTCGGGGGCAAGGTGGGTAGGCAGGTATTCCTTATCCAGGGAGTCCAGGGCGGCCAGGACCCTTCGATCACATATGACACAGCTCCGAGCAGAAAGCAGGCAGCCAGCTAGCGCCCCCACCAGGAGGAGCTGAGGATCCATTGTGGCGGGAGCTCTCAGTCCGCGCAGAACCCCAGAGAGGGTCCTCCCACCCCAAACGAGGAGGTGAACGCTAAGGGGAAATTTCGAAGCCCTCCCCCAAGACTAAACTCCCAGTTTGCAGGACATAGTCTTATCGTTAAGGAAATAAAGGAGTCTCGAGTCTCGAGTCCCGAGGCACCCTAAACAGCCGCTGCCCGACCTTGAACTTGAATGTTGCAGCCGAAGAGCCGAATACAGGCTGAGGGCTTTTAGAAGGGACGAGCAGGCGACGGTCTTCCACCGGATTTCCCAAGACCGAAAATAAGGACGTTGTTGGAGCGAGGGTGAAGTTCGACACGTGATGTGGAGAGCTTTATGACTGGAGGCAGGGTCACCTTTCACCCCGATCCAGAAGGAATTCCCACAGCCTCCCCCTTCTACATTACTACCTGGGACCCCTATGACCCTAGAGATATCCCAGGGAGTTTCCTTTGGCCCCGCCCATAAACCCAACTCTGAGTCTGATTGGACGGCAACAAAGGGAGGTTCCACCTATGGTTCCAGGATAACGCCTTGGTGGCCACCTCCTCTCAGACTAGAACTTTCATCCGGTGCTCTCAGATGAGGCCCTGGGATGGTTGCTTAGGGTGGAGGGGGCTGGGGCTCAGACTCTTGAGTCTGGACGAATGAGAAGGGCCTGAGCCTAGCCCCTGGATGCTGGGATGGGAGATGGCTGGGGGCTGCCTTTAGGTCTGATGGAGGGGCGGTGTGGATCCCCAATCCCTGGCTCTTAACCCTGCTCCAGGTCCCAACACGGGTGTCCTGGTTTGGTTAGCCCCGGTTGGCTCCTGACCCCACTATTTGTGTTCAACCTTTGCCTCTGCCCCCAACACTCTCTGGGACAGGAAAAGACCAGAGGAACCCCACTGGAAGAGTGGGGACAGGGGTCATTGAGGGGACCAGACCGGGGGAGAGATTTAAATAGGACTGGCCCAAGGGGCGCCTGGGTGGCTTAGTCGGTTAAGCGTCCGGCTTTCGCTTAGGTCATGATCTCGCGGTTCGTGGGTTCGAGCCCCGCGTCGGGCTCTGTGCTGGCTGCCAGCTCAGAGCCTGGAGCCTGTTTCAGTCTGTGACTCCCTTTCTCTCTGACCCTCCCCTGCTCACGCTGTGTCTCTCTCCTCTCCTAAAAATAAATAAATAAATAAATAAGTAAATAAATAAATAAATTAATTAAATAAATAAATAGGACTGGCCCTACCCACTCCTTGATTTGGGAATTACATCTCAGCCAGGTGACCCTGCCACCACGAAGGGACCCAGTTCCCAGTGTCTCCTTCTAGGCCAGGAGACCAGGCCCAGAACTCTCCACTCAGGAGACCAAAACTCAGGATCAGATGGGAGGAAATGAACTTGATATATTGACAACCAGATAAAACTTTATTTGGGCTTTCGTCTTGTGGACTTTTCCTTTGGAACTTTTGAAACTTTTGGAACCTGGCTCTGTGGAGGCTGGCTCTGGGAAACCTTGCCCTGTGGCAGCGGGCTCCGTGGAGGCTGGCTCTGGGAAACCTTGCCCTGTGGCAGCGGGCTCCGTGGAGGCTGGCTCTGGGAAACCTTGTCCTGTGGCAGCGGGCTCCGTGGAGGCTGGCTCTGGGAAGCCTTGTCCTGTGGCAGCGGGCTCCGTGGAGGCTGGCTCTGGGAAACCTTGCCCTGTGGCAGCGGGCTCTGGGATAGCCGACTCTCTGAAACCTCATCTGGTGGAGCAGCTGCCTTGTCGGTGTGGCCCCAGGAGTTTAAAAATTCGAGCACCTTCTCAGACTGAAAGCAAAGTACGCTGAGGGAGGGGAGGGTGCAAAAAGCAGAACCTGATTGGTCCTGAGTTAGGGTAACCCACCCCAACTTCCGTATATTTCTTCGTTTTCTAGCAATGACCCAAGCTTCACCCACCTAAGTAAGCCCCACCCTGTTTTCTAAGCCCCGCCCCCAAAGGACCCCATCCTGCTTTATGAAGTGGAGAACCCGCCCCTCACTCCAAGCCCTGCCTTCTTCAGACCTTGGCTCACCCAGTGACAAAGCCCAATATCAGCAGGAAGAAGCACCAGATCAGCAGCCCTATTAGACGGTTTCTCTGCACATTCTTTGGCTTTGGACACTCCGAGGGCTCTTGGGCTGGGGACAGGTCATCCCCGATTTCCTCCTCTGCCTCAGTAACAATGGCCGGTGATGACATTCCAATGGTTGGGGACTGGGTTTCAATGCTTAATGACTTTGTTCCAGTGGTTGATGTCCGGGTTACAAAGGTTGAAGACTTGGACATTGGCTGGACAATGATTCTTTGAGGCAACACTGAGAGAGGAGAGGGAAAGACAGTCCTAAGAGGCCCAAAGGGCCCGCCATGATGCCGGCAAGCTCTGTCCACTCCCACCTTCCCCCAACACCCAGGCCTTCCAGGTGATAATCACACCCCTCACTGCCTGAAGCCCGATCAATGTGGCGGGGGGCCTCACCCAGGGCAGGAAGCCACATCTCCTTGGTATGAAAACACACCGTGATGGGAAGTTTTAACCTACAGGCCACAATCCGGAAGCTGACTGCCCCCCCACCCCCGTGCCAGGACCCTGAATTCCACACTTCTGTCAAATCCCCAGCACTAACCTGTGACTTCAAAACGGATGAACGAGACTGGACCCGATCTTTCGGTGCCCAGCTCGCAGCGGTAGTTACCTGCGTCCTCTCGCCGCACCAGGGGCTTGGCCAGGGCTGGCCGTTTTCCCTGGTACATCAAGGTCTCAGAATTGCTCCCCCAAACCTAGACCCAAGCTCAAGGAGTCATAGAGGCCTGGGGAATTCAGGCCTGGGAAAGTACAGGGGTGAATCATCACGGGACCTCAGTGGGCGGGGAGACGGGAGTCCAGGGTATACTGCCAAGGGCATGGGAACGCTGGGGATCAGCAGAAGTCAAACCTGGTAGATCATGGGTCGTGGGGATTGTGGGAACAAGGCTGTGGTTACAGAGGTCGGGGCTCACAGAAGCCTAATGGACTTGGGGTTGAAGGGCCCCACCCTGTAAAAGCTGTAATTGGTCACGCCTTCAGCTATTGTATGCCAGTCGAGCTGACAGTCCAGGTTCATGTCATCCTTTTCATAGACGCTAATTCGGCGCACTGGGGAGAGAGGGTTAAGGTCGGGGGTGGGGGGGCTTCTTCAACGTTTCTGGGCCACCCTCAACTCCCTCCCACTTGTTCTCCTCCCTGCCTTTTCCTCCGGGCCGACTTAGGCTCCGCCCCTCTCGCGCAACACCCCTCCAGCGGGCCCCAGGTCTCTCACCCCCGCAATCTGTGGACTTTGGACAACTTTTGGTGTGCATCGTGCAATTATCGCAATACCTCAGAAGCTGCAACAACCTACCTGAAGAGGCATGAACAAGGCTGTGTTTGCCCTGAGAGACGAGGCTACACGCGGAGGGCAGGGCCAAGGTCTGGGGCGGTGTCAGTTGCTGAATGCCTAGCGGTGAGCCTAAGGGGCGGGGCTAGAAGGCAGTCCGGCCGGAAGAGGGATCTAACCAGGCTCAGTGAAGAGCACACGGAGAATAGGCCCCGCAGGGCGGGGGCAAGACCTGGGCAGGAATGAGGGATAGCAAACCAGCTCCCATCATCCGGACTCACCACATTTGTTCGGACAAAAACCTGCCTCAGAAGAAAGAAAAAAAAAATTATCAGATTTCAAAGGTAAAGGATATGAGAGAGGGGGCTAAAGAAGAGGTGGGGGGTTGGGGTCTTGGGTTGGAGGGAGGAAGGACCCAGCTTCCTGGATCTCTGGGCCCAAGGGGGAACGAGGTCAGGAGAGGTAATAGGATAGACATAGACAAGCAGGGGGCTGGGGACAGGGACCCTGGGACAGTTGGAGGAAGTGGCTGAGGTCCCTGATGGACTCCCATCTCCCCTCACCAGGTTTTAGGAACCGAGTTACATTGCGCCAAAACGATTCCTTTTCCCGAGTCAACATCTTGGAGAACTCCTTCAAGAAAGTGTCACCTGGAAAGCAGCAGGGTGACAGGGTGTACTCTCCATCCCCCACTCACCCAGGAGTGAGGTACACGCAGCTTGTCTCTCTCTGACGAGGCTGGCAATTCACGTTGGGACCTTCTCAGGGAGAGACAATGAAATTGATGACCACTTAACATGCTGGCCACTGAGCTAAGCGACAGCCTGGGGCCAGGCACTGTTATGATCCATTTTAGAGGCGGCAAACCTGGGAAATCCTCCCTCAAGGCCACACAGCTAAGGGATGACTTGGACGGATTTTGAACCTGGGCAGTTTGACCCATTTACCTGTTAAACCACGGTTTGTGATCATTTTCAGACTCCTCAGAAAACTCGTGGATGCCATTCTCATTGTGACATCATCTGGAGGGACACAGGGGATGAGGGAAGGGGAGATAGAACCTCAGATTGCAAGCTTTATGGTATCATTGGCTCAGCTAGTGTTAAAAACTACAATACCCATGTGGCTACTGGGCAAGATGGGGCTGAAAAGAGATTGCCCCCGTTGCCTTCTGGGAGTAGTAGTTTTTTACGTAAAATTGAAGGATAAGGGGTAGGGGAACACAGTATTTCCCAACCCTGGGAAGGCCTGGATTCTGCTCCCAACCTTCTGCATTCCCGAACCAAGTTGAATCTGCCTCCAGCCCTTTCCGCCAGACCTCTCCCCCCCCACCCCCACCCCCCCCCGCCGCAGCAATCCTAGCCCTAGACCCCTCCTTTCCCCAGAGCCAGCGTTCCCATGCCCCACCAGGCCCTCACCGACAATCCTATCATAGGTTGGCTTTAAATCTGGCAGATCTTTGAAATTCTCCAGGGTTTGTCTTATCTTTTTCATCACTTCTTGCTGACGCCCTCGCCCAATGTGGGTAGGCAGGTAATCCTTTTCCAAGGAGTTCAGCGCCAATTCGACCTTAGGATCACATAATATACAGCCCCGGGCAGGAAGCAGGCACCCGACTAGCGCCCCCACCAGGAGGGCTAGTTGAGGACCCATTGCCGCCAGAGCTCTCAGTCTGTGCAGAACGCCAGGAAGAATCCTTCTACCCCACACCGTCAAGGTGATCACAAATGGGACAAAAGCTGTTCCTCGAGACTAAGACCCACAATTTGCAGAGCTCCCACTTCTCGGTTAGGAAACCGAGGAGTCCGGAGTCCCAATGCACCCTGAACAGCCGCTGTCCGCCCTTGAACTTGAATGTCGTCCGCTCGAATACTACTAGGATTCACTGAAGAGAGGAACCCAGGCGGAGGGCATTGAGCAGGGCCCAGCAGGCCGCGTCCTTCCACTCTATCGTGCCACGACTAAAATTAAGGATGTGGTTGGAGCGAAGCTGACGCTGGCCACGTGATGTGGACAGCCTTTGACCTGAGTGACCCTCGAGGGCCACCTCAATCTACAAGGAAATCCCACAGCCTCCAACTTCTACCTTCGTACATGGGCCCCCCCGGACTTCCCTAGAGACGCTCCCAGGGAGTTTCTCTGGCCCCGCCCACAAACCCAACTGTGAGTCTGATTGGACCGCAACAAAGGGAGGCTCCGCCTATGGTTCCAGGATAAAGCCGACTGTCTCCTCTCAGACAAGAATTTTCATCTCATCATCCCAGATGAGGTTCCTGAGTGGTCCGGTTGGGGTGCAGGGGGTGGGGCTCAGACTAATGAGTCTGGGCAGAGGAGAAGGAAGGGAGCCTAACTCCTGGCTGCTGATACGGGAGAAGGCTGGGGACTGGGGTCTTGGATTTGATGGAGGAGGGGTGTCGACCCCCTGGTCCCCGGTTTTTACCCTGCTTCGGGTCCCGACAGCACCCCGGGGCCCTGCTCCATTGACCCTGGTTGGATCCTGACCCCGTTCTTCCTGTTCAGGCTTTGCCTGGCCTCAGCTCCCAGCACTGACTCGGGGACAGGAAAAGGCCAGAGGACCCCAGCCTACTGGAAGAGCGGAGAGGGGGCATCCTATGAGGGGACAGGCCTGGGGGAGGGGATCTGGGTAGGACTAGCCCTTCCCTATTCCTTGAATTGGGAATTACATCTCTCAGGTGGCCCTGCCATGATGATGGGATCCGGTTTCCCAGTCTCTCCTTCTGGAACTGGAGACCAGCCTGAGACCTCCCCTCGGGAAATCAAGAGTCCAAAAGACAGCGGAGGGAATGAGTCCTATATTTAGGCAACCCGATAAATCTTTTATTTTTCACTTAGTACTATGGCCTTTTCCTTTGGAACATTCAGAACCTTTGTTACTTGGGGGTGTGAAAGCTGACCCTGGACATCTGGTCACAGGTCACAGCACTGACCTTGACTTGAAAATGGACTATTGGGGCTGGGCCGGATCGCACAGTGCCCAACGCACAGCGATAGTTACCTGCATCCTCTGGTCTCACCAGGGTCTTGGTCAGGGCTAGCCATTTCCCCTTGTACACCAAGGTCTCTGAATTGCTCCCCCAAACCTAGACCCAAGCTCAGGGGTCACAGAGGCCTGGGGAATTCAGGGCTTGGGCTAGTGCAAGTGTGAGAGCATCACAGGGACTCAGTGGGGGGAGATGGGAGTCCAGAGTATACTAGTAAGGGCATGGGGTCCCCAGGGATTGGTAGAAGTCAAACCTGGTAAGTCACTCACGGGACATAAGAATTGTGGGAACATGGCTATGGATACAGGGGTCAGTGGTTCACAAAATTCTAAAGGACTTGGGGTTGAAGGGCCCCACCCTGTAAAAGCTGTAATTGGTCCTGCCTTCAGATGGTTTATGCCAGTTGAGCTCACAGCCCAGGACCATGTCTTCCTTTTCATGGACATTGATTTGGTGCACTGAGGACAGGAGTTACTGTGGGATAGTCTCTTTCAGTTCCTGGCCCTCTGTCAAGTTCCTCCTGCTTTCTCTAGGCTCCCCTTTCCTGGTGGGCAGGCTTCAGTCTCAGCACGCTCTAGACTCCAGCTTTCCTCTGCCCGTCTTGCCCCGACCCCTCCGGGAAGCTCTAGCTCTCAGAACCCTGCGATCTCTGGACTTGCCACAAACCTAAAGCTGCTTTTTGGAGTTACTGCACCAGATCAGAAGCTGCAACTTTGTATCTGAAGGCGCAGGATCAAGCCTGTATTTGCACTGAGAGAGGATGCAAACGGAGAGGGCAGGGCCAAGCGCTGGGTTGGGTCAGGTGCAGAATCCCTAGGAATCAGCCCAAGGGGCGGGGCTAGATGGGGGTCCTGCCAGAAGAAGGATCTAACCGGGCTCAGGGAAGAGCACACAGAATATGCCCTCCTGCCCATTAAGTCTGCAGTGCTAAGGACTTTTGGGGACCAGGAACCTCTCAGACTGGGGAATGAAGAACCATCCAGACCCAAAGCAAGAGGAGAAATGTTGGGCATTTACAGGTCACATTTGAGAGGTAGAGGCCAGCTCCCATAACCCAGATTCACCACATTTGTTAGGACAAAAATCTGCCTAAGAAAAAAGAATAATGATCAGATTCCTAAGTTAAAGAGGCTGAAAGAGGGTGCGAAGTAATCGTTTGGGTTTGGGCTCTTGGGTTGGAAGAAGGACTCGGGTTCTGGATCTCTGTGTCCAGGGGAGAACAGGGTTGAGAGAGGTGAGAAGCTGGACATAGAAAGCAGGGTCCTGGGGACAGGGACCATGGGACTGATGCGAGAAGAGGCCGTGGTCCCTGGGGATTCCCATCTTCCCCCACCCTTTCTTTGGACCCACATGAGGTAGCTCTGAAAAGTTTCCTTTTCCCACATGAACATCTTGGAGAACTCATTCACAAAAGTGTCATCTGGGAAGGTGCAGGGTGACACGGATTCCGTTCCCTCCTCCCCACCTCTGTCTGAAGAGACTGGCATCACAGCTGAGGCCTTCTCAGAGAGGGACAGTGACATTGAATGACCACTTAAAAATGCTGGCCATGAAGCTACGCATTGCCTGGCAGGCAGGCACTGTAAGGATCCTTTTTAAAGGAAAGAGAGCAGTGAAATTCCTCTCTAAGGCCACACAGCTAGGGGATGAGGGGGCTGGAATTTGATCGGAGGCAGATGGCCCCTGAGCCACTACCAGACCCATCCTCACCAAAACTCGTTTCTCTGAAAGATTCTGGAGCCCCTCCCTTGACCCCTCTGTGCATTTAGCCGGCTACACCGCCATTTCAGTTAAGTCTCACACTTGTCATTAAACTCAAGTTGGGGCGCCTGGGTGGTTCAGTTGGTTAATCCTCTAACTTTGGCTCTGGCCATGATCTCACTACTCATGAGTTTGAGCCCCGTGTCAGGCTCTGTGCTGACAGCTCAGAGACTGAACCCTGATTCTCGTGCTGTGTCTCCACCTCTCTCTGCCTATGCTCCATTCATGCTCTATCTCTCACACAAACAAACAAACAAAACAATAAAAATGTTAAAAACAAAGTAAAAAGGAAAATTCAAGACTGACCTTTCCTTTGTGGCCTCATCTGGAGGGACACGGGAAATGTGGGAAGGGGAGATAGAACCTCAGGTTCTAAGCCTTAAGGTCTCATTGGCCCAGCTGGTGTTCAAAACTACAATACCCATGCGGCACTGGGCAAGGCTAGGGCTGTAAGGGGATCGCCACTCCGTTGCTTTCTGGTAGTTGTAGTTTTTTACATAAAGTTGCAGGGTAAGGGGTATGGGAACAGTGTATTGGCTAGCCTGGGGGAAGATCTAGAATTTGCATCCCAGCCCTCTCCATTCATGAAACCCAGTAGACGCTGTCTCCGGCCCTTCCCTCCCGTCCCCCGACTGCCTCTGCCCCCAGCATCCTAGCACCAGACTCCTGCTTTCCCAAGACCCTGGATTCCCACGCTCTACCCTGCCCTCACCGATAACCTCCATAAAGGTATCCTCTAATTATGGCAGATCCCAGAAATTCCTCATGGTTTGTCTTATCTTTTGCATCACTTCTCTGTGACGCCCGGGGGCAAGGTGGGTAGGCAGGTATTCCTTGTCCAAGGAGTCCTGCGTTGCCACGACCCTTTGATCACTTAGGATACAGCTCTGGGCAGGAAGTAGGAAGTAGGCAGTTGGCTAGCGCCGCCCACAGGTGGGCTATTTGAGGATCCATTGGAGCGAAAGCGCTCAGTCCACGCAGGACCGTCCTCACGGAGGAGATCGCCACCCTCCCACCTCACAGAGGTGATCGCTAAGGGGAAAGAAGTTCATCCCTGAAACTAAGACTCCCAGTTTGCAGGACACAGTCATTTTTTATAATTGTTTTAGTGTTTGTTTATCTTTGGGAGAGAGAGAGAGAGAACGAGCATGGGAGGGGCACTGATAGAGGAGACACAGAATCCGAGGCCAACTCCAGGCTCCAAGCTGTGAGCACAGCGCCCGCCACTGGGGCTGGAACCCACGACGCGCGAGATCATGACCTGAGCCCAAGTCACATGCTCAACCAACTGAGCCACCCAGACGCCCCTGAAGGGCATCTTATCTCTAAGGAAATAAAATAGTCCGGAGTCCCGATGCATTCGAAGCAGCGGATTCCTGACCTTGAACTTGATTCCTGACCTTGAACTTGAAAGTTGTAGCTGAAGAGCCAAAGCAGTTTGAGGACGTTTGAAAGGCAAGATCTTCCACTCCATTTCCCAGACTGAAATAAGGATGTTGTTGGGGTGGGGGAGAGTTGGTCGCGGTTATGTGGAGAGCTTTATGACTGGAGCCAGGGTCACCTTTCACCCTAATCTACAAGGAATCCCCAAAGCCTCCCCCTTCTACTTACTACCTGGGACTCTGACTTCCCTAGAGATACTCCCAAGTTTCCTTGGCCCCGTCCACAAACCCAATTCTGAGTCTGATTGGACCGCAACAAAGTGAGGCTCCGCCTATAATTCCGGGATACGGTGGAGGCGGCCGCCCAGTCTCAGACTAGAACTTTCACCTGGTCCACTGAGATTAGGCCCTCATTAGTGGGGTTTGGATGGAGGGGACTGGAGATCTGCCTCCTCAGTCTGGGTGGAGGAGAACGGTGGGCACCTAGCTTCTGGGTGCTGGGATGGGAGATTGCTGGGGACCGGCTCCTGGGTTGACAGAGGAAGGGTATGCGCCCCTGAGTCCCCAGTCCTTATCCTGCTTCAGCTCCCAACAGCACCCCGGGGCCCTGGCTCCGTTGGCCCTGGGGTTCCTGACCCCGCTGTTCTGTCAGCCTTTGCCTCTGCCCCAGCTCCCAGCCCTGAGTGGGGGACAGGAAAAGTCCAGAGGAACCCCGCTGGAAGAGTGTGTAGCGGAGGCCCTTGAGGGGACCGGACCTGTGCAAGGGCTCTAGGTAGGAGCTTCCTCACTCCTTGACGGGAGAATTACATCTCAGCCACACGGCCCTGGCACCACGAAGGTACCCAGTTCCCAGTGTCCTTCTAGGACAGGAGACCAACCCCAGAGCTCTCCTCTTGGGAAATCAAAACTCAGGATCAGACGGGAGGAGATGAATCTGATATATAGACATCTGGATAAATCTTTATTTTGCGCCTTTGTACTGAGGCCTTTTCCTTCGGTACCTTCAGAACCTAGCTCTCCGAAAGCCGGATCTGTGACAGCGGGCTCTGGGACAGCCGACTCTCTAGAACCTAGTCTTGTGGGGCGGCGGCTTTGTCTGTGCCAAACAGGAGTTTATGGAATCGATCACCGTCCCATACCGAAAGTATAGTACACTGGTGGAGGGTGGCGTGCAAATAGCGGAACCAGATTAGGCACTGAGTTAGGGACGCCCATCCCAACCTCCCTATATTTGATCCTTTTTCTAGGAGTGACCCAAATTTCGCCCACCTAAGTAAGCCCCACCCTGTTTTCTAAGCCCCGCCCCCAAAGGACCCCATCCTGCTTTAGGAAGTGGAGAACCCGCCCCTCACTCCAAGCCCTGCCTTCTTCAGCATTTGGCTCACCCGGTGACAAAGCCTGCTATCAGCAGGAAGACGCACCAGATCAGCAGCCCTATCAGACGGCCTCTCTGCACATTCTTTGAACACTCTGAGGGCTCGTGGGTTGGGGACAGGTCATCCCCGATTTCCTCCTCTGCCTTGGTTCCAATGATTGACGGCTGGGTTACAAAGGTTGAAGACTTGGACACTGGCTGGACAATGATTCTTTGAGGCAACACTGAGAGAGGAGAGGGAAAGAGCTGTCCTGAGAGGCCCCAAGGGCCCGCCGTGGCGCCGGCAAGCTCTCTCCACTCCCACCTTCCCCCAACGCCCAGGCCTTCCAGGTGATAATCACACCCCTCACTGCCTGAAGCCCGATCAATGTGGCGGGGGGCCTCACCCAGGGTAGGAAGCCATACCTCCTTGGCATGAAACCACACCCCGACAAGAAGTTGTTTTTGTTTTTTTTTTTTTAACCTCTGAGAGAGAGACAGCATGAGCAGGGGAGGGTCAGAAAGAGAGGGAGATACAGAATATGAAAAAGACTGCAGGCTCTGAGCTAGATGTCAGCACAGAGCCCGACGCGGGGCTCGAACCCAGGATCCGTGAGATCATGACCTGAGCCGAAGTCAGACACTCAACTGACTGAGCCACCCAGGCGCCCTCCTGAAGGCAAGTTTTAACCCGCAAGCCACGCCCAGAAGCTGACTGTCCCCCAACCCCGGGACCCTGAATCCCACACTCTCTTGACTTTGCAGCACTGACCTGTGACTTGAAAATGGATGATGGTGGCTGGGCTGGATCGCACAGTGCCCAACTCGCAGCGGTAGTTACCTGCATCCTCCGGCCTCACCAGGGGCTTGGTCAGGGTGGGCCGTTTCCCCTTGTACAGCAAGGTCTCAGAATTGCTCCCCCAAACCTAGACCCAAGCTCAAGGGGTCACAGAGGCCTGGGGAATTCAGGGTTTTGGGTAGTCCAGGGGTAAGATCATCACGGGACCCCAGTGGGGGGGATATAAGAGTCCAGGGTATACTGGTAAGGGCACAGGGTCCCCAGAAATCGGTAGCACTGAAACCTGATAGGTCATGGGTCATAGGGATTGTGGGAACACCGTGTGGATACAGAGGTCGGGGCTCACAGAAGCCTAAAGGACTTGGGGTTGAAGGGCCCCACCCTGTAAAAGCTGTAATTGGTCAGGCCTTCAGATAATTTATGCCAGTTGAGCTCACAGTCCAGGATCATGTCTTCCTTCTCATGGACGTTGATTTGGCGCACTGGGGAGAGGGAGTTAAGGTCAGGTGCTTCTTCAAGGTTCCTGGCCCTCAACTCCCTCCCCTGGGTCTCAGATCCGCCTTTTCCGGTGGGCGTCCTCCAGTCTCCGCCCTCTCTAGACTGCAGCTCTTCTCTGGCTCCACCCCTCTCACAACAACTCTTCCGGCTGACTCCAGGTCTCTCACCCCCGCAATCTCTGGACTTTCGACAGATGTAATTGTCCTGGACACAATTTTTGCACCACAGTAGACGCTGCAACATCGTACCTGAAGGGACATGAACAAGGCTATATTCGCCCTGAGAGACTAGGCTCAACGAAGAGGGCAGGGTCAAGGTCTGGGGCGGAGTCAGGTGCCTAATCCCTCGAGGTCAGCCCAAGGGGCGGGGCTAGAAGGCAATCCTGCCGCAAGAGGGATCTAACGAGGCTCAGTAAAGAGTGCAAATAGAATGTGACCCGCTGCCCAGTTAAGTCCTCAGTGCGGAAGGATCTGGAGACCAGGAACTTCTCAGACTTGGAAAATGAAGAACAATGGAGACCCAACACGGGAGGAGACAGGCTGGGTATTAACCCGGCGAGGATAAGGAAGAGAAGATCAGCTCCAGTAATCCAGACTCACCACATTTGTTGGGACATAAATCTGCCTCAACAGAAAAAAAAAAAAAAAAAAAAAAAAGATCAGATTTGTCAGCTCAAGGAGCTGAGAGAGGAGGCGAAGGAGTAGGTTGGAGTTTGGGCTCTTGGATTTGAGGGAGGAAGGACCCCGGTGTCTGGAACTCTCGATCCAAGGGAGGGCTGGTCTGGAGAGGTGAGGGGCTGGATAGAGAGAAGGAGGGGGCCGGGGACAGAGACCCTGGAGCAGTTGGAAGGGGCTGTGGTCCCCGACAGGCTCTCATCTTCCCTCACCCTGTTTTTGGAATTGATCAATATAGTGCTGAAATGCTTCCTTTTCCAGAGTCAACATCCAGGAGATCTCCCTCACGAAACGGTCATCTGAGAAAGAGCAGGGTGACACGGAGTGCTTCCCCCACCCCCACCCCCAGCCCCAGGAGTGAGGTACAGGAAGTTTCCCTCGTTCTGAAGAGATTGGCATTCCACGTTGGGGCCTTCTCAGGGAGGGACAATGAATTGAATGACCACTTAATGCTGGCCGCTGAGCTAACTGACGGCTGACGTGAAGGCAGTGTTATGATCCATTTTAGAGGCGACAAACCTGGGAAATCCCTCTCTCAAGGGCACACAGCTAGGGGATGACGGGCCTGGAATTTGAACCGAGGCAGTTTGGCTCCAGAGCCACTAACCAGACCCGTCCTCACCAAAAATAATTTCTCTGAAAGTTTCCAGAGCCCTTTCCTGGCCCCTCTGTGCATTTACCTGTTAAACGACTGTTTCTGACAAGTCTCACAGTCCTCAGAAAACTCACGACTGCCGTGTTCATTGTGGCGTCATCTGGAGGGATAGAGGGGATGCGGGGAGGGGAGACAGAACTTCAGAATCTAAATCTTAAGGTCTCATTGGCTCAGCTAGTGTTAAAAACTACAATACCCATGTGGCTACTGCGCAGGGGTAAGGCTGTAAAAGTATCGCCCGCCCGTTGCCTCTTGGGAGTTGTAGTTTTTGACTACAGGGTAAGGGAGAGAGGAACACAGTATTTCCTATCCTTGGGGAAGCCCTTGAATCTGCATCCCAGCCTCCTCCATTCAGGAACCTAGCCGACTCTACCTCCAGGTCTTCCTTCCCTACCTCCTTTGCCCCCGCCCCCCAACAATCTTAGCCCCAGACCCCTCCTTTTCCAGGACCCGCTATTTCCACGCTCTACCCTGCCCTCACCGATAACCCCCATAAAGTGAGGCTGTAAATCTGGCAGGTCCTTGAAATTCCTCACGGTTTGTCTTATCATTTCCATCACGTTCCTGCGACGCTCGGGCGCCATGTGGTTAGATAGGTATTCCGTATCCAAGGAGTCTAGGGCCGCCAGGACCCTTGGATCACATATGATACACCCCCGGGCAGGAAGCAGGCAGGAAGTTAGCGCCGCCACCAGGAGCGCAAGTTGAGGACCCATTGAGGCCAGAGCGCTCAGTCTGCGCCACACCCCGGGAGGGTCCCCCCTCCAAGACGGAGGAGGTGATCGCTAAGGGGAAAGAAGCCCTTCCCAATTAGACCCTCAATTTCCAGGGATCACACTTCTCGGTTAGGAAACCAAGATTTACCCTTAAGAACCCCTGCCCGACCTTGAACTTGAATGTTGTGCCCTCAAATACTACGGTTAGCTGAAGAGCCGGCTTCAGGCTTCAGGCTTTTAGAGGGGACGAGCAGGCTACGTTCTTCCACTCTATTTTCCCCCGACTAAAATTAAGGATGTTGTTGGAGCGAGGCTGAGGTTGGTCACGTGATGTGGAGAGCTTTATGACTGGAGTNTGTCTGGGCCATGGATGAAGACTTGGATATTGTCTGGGCCATGGATGAAGACTTGGACACTGTCTGGGCCATGGTTGAAGACTTGGACATTGTCTGAGCAGTGATTCTTTGAGGCAACACTGATAGAGGAGCAGGAAAGAGGAGTCCTGAGAGGGCCTAAGGGCCCGCTGTGGCCCAGGCAAGCTCTCTCCTCTCCAGCCTTCCCCAACACCCAGGCCTTCCAGGTGATAATCACACCCCTCACTGCCTGAAGCCCGATCAATGTGGCAGGGGATGCATCCAGGGCAGGAAGCCACACCCCAGTGGCTGGAAACCACACCATGATGGGAAGTTTTAACCCACAGGCCACGACCCTGATGCTGACTGCCCCCCAGCCCCATGACCCTGAATCCGACACTTCTGTCAACTCCCCAGCACTAACCTGTGACTTCAAAACGGATGATGGAGACTGGGCCTGATCTCTCAGTGCCCAACTCGCAGCGGTAGTTACCTGCATCCACTGGCATCATCATTCGTTTTATCACGGCGGGCTGTTTCCCCTTGTACATCAAGGTCTCAGAATTGCTCCCCCAAACCTAGACCCAAGCTCAAGGGGTCACAGAGGCCTGGGGAATTCAGGTCTGGGGAAGTACAGGGGTGAGATCATCACGGACCTCAGTGGGCAGGGAGACGGGAGTCCAGGGTATACTGCCAAGGACATGGGATCCTCGGGGATTAGCAGAAGTCAAACCTGGTAGATCATGGGTCGTGGGGATTGTGGGAACAAGACTGTGGATATTGAGGTCGGGGCTCACAGAAGCCTAAGGGCATCGGGGATGAAGGGCCCCACCCTGTAAAAGCTGTAATTGGTCACGCCTTCAGCTATTGTATGCCAGTCGAGCTCACAGTCCAGGATCATATTGTCCAGTTCACGGACGTTGATTTGGCGCACTGAGGAGAGGGGTTACGGTGAGGTGCTTCCTCATGGTCCCAGGACCTCCCTCAACTCCCTCCCACTTGTTCTCCTCCCTGCCTTTTCCTCCGGGCCGACTTAGGCTCCGCCCCTCTCGCGCAACACCCCTCCAGCGGGCCCCAGGTCTCTCACCCCCGCAATCTGTGGACTTTGGACAACTTTTGGTGTGCATCGTGCAATTATCGCAATACCTCAGAAGCTGCAACAACCTACCTGAAGAGGCATGAACAAGGCTGTGTTTGCCCTGAGAGACGAGGCTACACGCGGAGGGCAGGGCCAAGGTCTGGGGCGGTGTCAGTTGCTGAATGCCTAGCGGTGAGCCTAAGGGGCGGGGCTAGAAGGCAGTCCGGCCAGGCTCAGTGAAGAGCACACGGAGAATAGGCCCCGCAGGGCGGGGGCAAGACCTGGGCAGGAATGAGGGATAGCAAACCAGCTCCCATCATCCGGACTCACCACATTTGTTCGGACAAAAACCTGCCTCAGAAGAAAGAAAAAAAAAATTATCAGATTTCAAAGGTAAAGGATATGAGAGAGGGGGCTAAAGAAGAGGTGGGGGGTTGGGGTCTTGGGTTGGAGGGAGGAAGGACCCAGCTTCCTGGATCTCTGGGCCCAAAGGGGAACGAGGTCAGGAGAGGTAATAGGATAGACATAGACAAGCAGGGGGCTGGGGACAGGGACCCTGGGACAGTTGGAGGAAGGGGCTGAGGTCCCTGATGGACTCCCATCTTCCCTCACCAGGTTTTAGGAACCGAGCTACACTGCGCTGAAATCCTTCCTTTTCCCGAGTCAACATCTTGGAGAACTCCTTCAGGAAAGTGTCACCTGGAAAGCAGCAGGGTGACAGGGTGTACTCCCCATCCCCCACCCACCCAGGAGTGAGGTACACGCAGCTTGTCTCTGTCTGAAGAGCCTGGCATTTCACGTTGGGACCTTCTCAGGGAGGGACAATGAAATTGATGACCACTTAACATGTTAGCCACTGAGCTAAGTGAGGGCCTGCGGACGGGCACTATTATGATCCATTTTAGAGGTGGCAAACCTGGGAAATACCTCCCTAAAGCCCACACAGCTAAGGGATGAACAGGACGGAATTTGAACCTAGGCAGTTTGGCTCCAGAGCCAAAAGATTCTGGAGCCCCTCTCCTGGGCCATCTGTGCATTTACCTGTTAAACCACGGTTTATGATCATTCTCAGGCTCCTCCGAAATCTCCTAGATGCCATTCTCATTGTGGCATCATCTGGAGGGACACAGGGGATGAGGGAAGGGGAGATAAAACCTCAGATTGCAAGCTTTATGGTATCATTGGCTCAGCTAGTGTTAAAAACTACAATACCCATGTGGCTACTGGGCAAGATGGGGCTGAAAAGANAATTTCTTGAATACCTCTTTGGTACAAAAAGGTGATTTTATTAAAGCGGGCAGACAGGACCCGCGGGCAGGAAGAGCTGCACTGGGATGCTGGAGTGTAACTGGGTATATTCCTTGGACTTGGGGGAGGTAGAGTCAAAAGGGAAGTTTCCAAAGAGACTTGTACATGCTATAGACTCACAGATTACTGGAGCCTACTTATTGTCAAGCTAAGGTTGTTTTTCCCTCTAGCAAAGCATTAGTATTAAGACAGTAGGGGATTCCTGGAGAAATGTTCCATTTTGTATTTGCCCCGAGTATTTGTCAATGGTCTGCAGGTTATATGGAAATTTAGTTTTATCTGCCTTTCTTGCTTTTGTTCCCCAATTCACTATAGAGGGGTGGTGGTGGAGCTCCTGTAAATGGAGTCTACAGGTTACTGGAGATGAGGCTATTGATGAGAATCCCTTTATCTGCTAGTGGAGCCTCTTAGCAGTTTAACCATTTGTTTTCTGTCCTTTATCCGTGGGCAGTCAGGAGTGCCTGAGGAATATCACACATATCCTACCTGGGGTGGGGGGTGCTAGCTCGTATTTTGCCCTCAGGCTTCCTTGTGCTCCCTCATCATATCCCCCCTGAACAAGTTTGACCCTTAAATCTTTAAGTTTATTGAAGGTGGAAAGTCTCATCTTCTGTAGCTTCTTCTTGCTGAGTTGGGGGTGTCGAGGTGTCCCTACCTATGGTGATAGAGCTCCTCCTTAAGGAATGTGGTGAGGGGCACCTGGGTGGCTCAGTTGGTTAAGCGTCCGACTTCGGCTCAGGTCATGATCTCACGGTTCTTGGGTTTGAGACCCGCGTCGGGCTCTGTGCTGACAGCCAGCTTAGAACCTGGAGCCTGTCTTCAGATTGTCTCCTTCTCTCTCTGACCCTCCCCTGCTCACGCTGTCTCTATCTTTCTAAAAAATAAATAAAACATTTAGAAAATTTTTAAAAAAAGAATGTGATGAAAACCTGAAGACAAGGGAGGGCAGCTGAGCTATGGTGCATAGTCCTGACCTTCTTCAGGATTCCGTACCAGACTGCCCAATCAGACTGTATGTCAGTATGTTACCATGTATGGAAGACAAAAAAGTAGAAATTGTATAAAAGGCTACACCCCGCCACACTCGGGGTTCAGTTTCTTGGGTACAAACCCACGATGAATAAAGTTGCTTTCTGGAAAGAAAAGCCTACGCGTCACGACTCTCTGTGCCAACCCCGGTCCCGTCACACTATGAGTCAATGTTGATCAGTTGAGGAGCATATTAGGGGAGTTACAAAATGGAGGCAGTTGAATCCAACGTGGACAACATACAGGAACCTCCTTGTGTAGAAAGGATCATCTGTTGGCTTGGTTACTGCAATGATAAAGTCTTGGCACCAGGAGGAGATACAGCAAAACTTAATTGGAACAACAGGAAAGAAACCCCAATCAAAGTCCTTTGGTAGTTGACAAAAATCATCTAGTCCAAGAGTTTAACCAATTGCTAAAGGAAAGAGAGTGACTTTTTAAAAATGTTTTATTTATTTTTGAGAGAGAGAAACAGCGCGTGAGTGGGGGAGGGCCACAGGGAGAGGGAGACATAGAATCCGAACCAGGCTCTGATCTGTCAGCACAGAGCCCGAGGTGTGGCTCAAACCCACAAACCATGAGATCACGACTCAAGCTGAAGTCAGATGCTCAACTGACTGAGCCACCTAGGCGCCCCAAGAAAAGGATTGTTTAAAGCTCCCATCTGAGTGGCGCCTGGGTGGCTTAGTCGGTTAAGCGTCCGACTTTCGCTTAGGTCATGATCTCCCGGTTCGTCGGTTCGAGCCCCGCGTCGGGCTCTGTGCTGACTGCCCGCTCAGAGCCTGGAGCCTGTTTCAGAGTCTGTGACTCCCTCTCTCCCTCCCCTGCTCACGCTGTCTCTCTCTCTATCCTAGAGATATTAACTTGTGGGTTTGTAAAATCAGTCATACCTTCACAGTTTGAGGATATGAAAAAGTCCAGTTGTGTCCTGGTAAATTCCAAGTCTTATTCCTCATGGACCAGGAAGAAACATTTTGATAAGTGATAGACTTCTTATTAAACATAGTATCTTTCTACATTATTTTTGAAATATAGATACAGAGAGAGTGCCAATCAGTACCTTGTAAAGAGGAGGTCCACCTAGGTAACCCAGATGTGCTTGACATGGGCAAAATTCTATGTATCCAGCAAGCTCTCTGAATTTGTGGTTCAACGTTAATGCTGCGCCCATTGTAGGAAGGAATTGTTAGTATAAATTGGGGAAAGTAGAATGAAAACGGAAAGGCACAACCATTGTAAGAGAATTGTGAGGTCTTCCACAGGTTCACAGGAATGAGAAGGCACATTAGTTTGTCCATTGGTTTCCTGTGAAGGAGGTACAGGTTTTATTTAGATACAGGGGCCCATGAAGAGTGCCCTTCTAATTTTATTGTAGTGGGAGTACATAATATGATTCATTAAGGACACCTTTATTTTGGAGCTAAATCCCCTTCTGTATTAGACTTTTAATCCTCTAAATAAACCAGGCCTCCTGGGTTTATATGGGGTGGGTTTTTAGTAATCGTCAGGTCAGGTTTAGGAAGGATATGTATGGCTTGCATGTTCAGAGATTTGTGAATTAACCTGGTTCAGGTGAATGATTTAATAAAGCTTTATAGTCTTTATTTATTGATAGATTTACAGTGAGAAAAGTCTTTTTTATATATGAATGTTAGAGGAGTCCATCCCATTTTCTAGCTGTTCAAATAATCCTATGCCAATTATCCTCACACAATAACAAGCAAAAAGATTGTCTATACCTGTGCTATTGTGAAAATATCTCTCAAGTCTACCTCAAGTTGCCCAGCTCAGGCAAACATTTAAAGACAATCGGAACTAGGATTTAGTATCCATAAAGGTCTATTATTGAAACATAATTTTTCTCCCTAGTAACTAACCCTCATTTCCCAAGATAGCCAAATCCAGACTAATTCGCTTGTAAAATGCATCTCGTTTAATAAACATGGCCTAATTATTCACATAACCTCAGCAAAAATAGCAATCAATTATAAGGATCTTTTAAAGTTCGCTTTGCTGGAACTTTTCATGGGAAATCTAGATTGAATTTTTAGTAGCCTCTCCGGGCCAAAAGCCAAGCCAAGCACCTGCCATCAGACATGGCCGCAATTCCTGTAGGTTTGGGCAAACTCCTCTTCTCGAGGTCCCGAAGATATCCTGAGGCTCCTACACCTGCCGCAAAGTGACCTTCTTTATTCACCTGGTAAGGCTTCTGGGAACTCTGTGAGCAAGGTATCAGGCCAACATTTCCAAGGGGCTTTATGGCTCCATGTTTCACAAACTCAACCTTAGTTCCTCAGAGCTGTAGGGTCATATCTGAGTCTATGCATGTCTCTCCAATAGGCCATTCCAGTCAAAGCCTTGGTAAAATAACAGCATTTCCAATGGCATCCTGTCACAAGGAGAAGAAATGCTTATTGAACTTAGGCAAATGATTACAATTGCCCTGAAACATTACTCACTGAGAGTCTTTGAATTGTAGGGGGTTTAGGTAGAGAGAAAGGTTAAATGCTTCAGTTTGTACACAAATGAATACTTAATCACATTTCCATTTGTCATAGATATCTTAAAAGAAAGTGTCCTCAATCTGGAAGACCAAACATTCGAGGACCAGCAATATTTCCAACAAGAGTTCCAAACTAGAATCATCTTTCTCAGATCATTTAGTCCAATGTTCCTAATTCTTGTTCAGTTCGAATGCAGCTTCTCACCCACTTAAGTCTTAATCTTAAAGATGTCAAATTCCTCTCTTTGTCCTAAAAGCCCTTTTTATTAATATCCTTGAAGATGAGTATCAGAACAATAACTATCAATGACAAAATCTCAGATATGGGTGTGGTTCACAATATGATATGAGAGTTCATTATGATACAATTAACAAGGTAATCTACTGTTCAAAGACACATAATACTTTGATAGAGCACCAAATGAAAACCCTATACCACGACATTAAAAGTTTAGGAACTTCACATATATTTGAGCCGTTCAAACATTTACCCATGCAATACAAGCTTTAATTTACCATTATTTGTTGGACGGTGTTTCCAGAGTAACTTAATATACCAGAAAAGGCCTAATTGGTCAAAAACACTTCATCTACGATTTAAATTCAGGAAAAGTTTGCTAAAACCTTAGTAAGCTACAAAGCACATCCTAAATAGGATTACAGATCATTACAAATCCTCAAACTTTAAATTACTTATTTAGCCAAGGTGGTAAAAAGAGATGCCAAAGGCAAATATGTAGGGCTATACAGTTGTTAGCAAAAGGTAGCTCCTTTAAAATTGAGAAGTTCTAACTAAGTAATCAACTAAGTAATCAAAAATTTGGTGAAAGATGAAGCCTAAAGCTTTGGCTTTCCTAGCAGACAAAAGAGGGGTGCCTGGGTGGCTCAGTCGGTTAAGCATCTGACTTCGGCTCAGGTCATGATCTCATGGTTTGTGGGTTCGAGCCCCGCATCAGGATCTGTGCTGACGTCAAGCTCAGAGCCTGGAGCCTGCTTCAGATTCTGTGTCTCCCTCTCTCTCTGCCCCTCCTCTGCTCATGCTCTCTCTCTCCCTCAAAAATAAATAAACGTTAAAAAAACGTTAAAATTCACTTTTGCAAACGTGATTTACCCACTTCTGTAATTTAAGTAGCAGTTAGTAGAGGACATTGACCAAACCCAGGACAGACAGAAGTCCATCATGATTCCAACACATACAGTCTTTGTCTTTACAGCCAGCTTCTCTAGGAAACAGTCCCCTGTTCTGTCCATCTGTTTTAATTCAATCGAGTATTAGTTTCCACTGGCTCATAATAGTGCAGGTTCTGTGGCCAGAAGCAACTAGACCAGAAATGTGAGTTAGACCAATGAGGATGCCTACACTGAAGTCTTAAGAATGGCAGCCATGTTAGTCCACTTAGGTGTCTGTCCCCTGCCCGAGACAGGCAACTTTGTATAAGGACAGGAATAAAGGGCATCAAGTTTCTGGGTCTTATTACCATTCCGTCTGGGGTAGTAACTTCAGCCAAAACACAGGCTTTCCCCTCCCCATAGAGCAGCCATGGGCCAGAGGATGGCAGCCTGACCAATTGACATGAAAGAGTTCCAATAAAACCTCACTTCTCAAAAAGCCCCTAAAATGCAAGTAAAGGAAGAAAAGAAGAAGTACCTAGCAAATTTGCACCAAAGCTCAGAGTCGAAATGAAAAGACTCCCAGTCCCACATGTTGGGCACCATATGAGGAGGCTTGGGGGTCATGGAGGGATTTGTGGGTCTGTACACTGTGGCCAAGAAAGAATTCGTGAAGACGTCTTTGGTGCAAAATGTGATTTTATTAAGGCATGGGGACAGGACCCAGGGGCAGAAAGAGCTGCACTGGGGTGGTGAAGCGCACCTGGGTATACACCTTGGACTTGGGGGAGGTCAAGTTCCAAACGGAAGTTTCCAAAGAGACTTGTATATGCTAAAGACTCACAGATTACTGGAGCCTATCGTGGAGCTAAGGTTGTTTCTCCTCTAGCAAAGCATTCATATGAAGACAGTAGGGAGTTCCTGGAGAAATGTTCTACTCTGCAGTTGCCCCAAGTATTTCTCAATGGGCTGCAAGCCATAAGGAAATTTAGTTTCATCTTCCATTTCCTTTTTGTCTTTGTTCCCCATTTCACTATGGAGGGGTGACGTTGGAGCTCCTGAAAATGGAGTCTACAGGTTACTGGCCTGGTTACTGAGGCTACTGGTTACTGGTTACTGAGGCTATTGATGGGATTTTCTTTTTCTGGCAAACTGGTGGAGACTTTTATCAGTTTCACCATTTGTTTTCTGTCCTTTGCTCTGTCTCTTGGCAGCCAGGAGTCCTTGAGGAATATCACCTATATCCCACATGGAGGTGGGGGTGTTAGCTTGTGTTTTCCCCACAGCCTGCCTTATGCTCCCTCATCACTGGGTCTGAAGGAGGAGGGTTCTGGAGCCCCAGGTCACCAGTTCTTACCCTGTTTCTGTCCCAACAGCACCCCGGGGCCCTGGCTCCATTGGCCCTGGTTGGTTCCTGACCCCACGCTTCCTGTTCAGCCTTTGCCTGCCCCAGCTCCCAGCACTGGCTGGCGGACAGGAAAAGGCCAGAGGAAACTCAGCTGGAAGAGGGTGAGGGGGCGTTCTGTGACGTGGGGCCTAGAAGGGAATGGCAAGATCCAGGTATGTCTGGTCCTTCCCAACTCCTCGATTCAGGAATTACATCTCATCCAGGTGGCCCTGCCTTGATGAAGGGACATGGGTTCCCAGTCTCTCCTTCTAGGACAGGAGACCAGCCCCAGACCTCTCCTCTTGGGAAACCAGTGAGGATCAGAGCAGAGGAAATGAGCCCGATATATAGACAAACACGTAAATCTTTATTTGCACCGTGGTAATGTGGCTTTTTACATTGGAACCTTCTGAACCTGGATCTGTGAAGGTTGTCCGTGTGGGACCTAGCCCTATGGAATACCTCTCTTGTAAGTGGGGAACCGGGAATTCATGGAATCCATCACCTTCTCAGGACGATAGCAAAGTGCTCTGGGGAGGGGAGGGTGCAAATAGCAGAACCTGATTAGGTCCTCAGTGAGGGACACCCCTCCCAGTTGCCCTATTTTTGATCTTATTCTAGCAATGACTCAAAGATAGCCCACAAAGGTAAGCCCCCCCCATCCCCAAGAGGACCACCTCCTCCATTTGGAAGGTGAAGACCCCACCTGTCACTCCAAGCCCTGCCTTCTTCAGTGGGCAACTCACATGGTGAGCAAGCCGATGATCAGTACCACACAGCCCCAGATCAGCAGCCCTACCACACGGCCTCTAGGCACATGCTCAGACTTGGGAGACTCTGATGGCTTGAGGGTAGAGGACAGGTCATGCCAGTTTCCTGTCTGGGTCCCATTGGTTGATGACTGGCTTCCAATGGTTGATGGCGAGGTTACAATGGTTGATGACTCAAACATTGTCTGGGCCATGGTTGAAGACTTGGACATTTCCGGGGCAATGCTTGAAGACTCGGACATTGTCTGGGCCGTGGTTGAAGACTTGGACATTTCCGGGGCAATGTTTGAAGACTCAGACATTGTCTGGGCTATGGTTGAAGTCTTGGACATTGTCTGGGCCATGGTTGAAGACTTGGACATTTTCGGGGCAATGCTTGAAGACTCGGACATTGTCTGGGCCATGGTTGAAGTCTTGGACATTGTCTCGGCAATGATTCTTTGAGGCAACACTGATAGAGGAGAGGGAAAGAGCAGTCGTCAGAGGCCCCAAGGGCCCGCAGTGGCCCCAGCAAGCTCTCTCCACTCCTACCTTCCCCAAGACCTACGTATTCCAGGTGATAATCAGGCCCCTAACTGCCTGAAGACTGGGAAAAGAGAGTGGTGGCCACACTGTGAGCAGAGGGCCACATTTCTGTGGCCTGAATCCACACCCCAATGGGAAGTTTTAACCTGCAGGCCAAGTCCCGAAGGTGACTGTCCCCCCAACTCCACGATCCTGAATTCCATACTTCTGTCAACCCGCCAGCACTGACCTGTGACTTCAAAATGGATGATGGAGGCTGGGCCATGTTGCTCAGTGCCCAACTCGCAGCGGTAGTTACCTGCATCCTCTGGCATCACCAGGGGCTTCGTCAGGGTGGGTCTTTTCCCCTTGTACACCAAGGTCTCAGAATTTCTCCCCCAAACCTAGACCCAAGCTCAAAGGGTCAGAGAGGCCTGGGGAATTCAGGGTTTGGGGAAGTACAGGGGTGAGGGCATCAAGGGACCTCAGTGGGGGGAGATGGGAGTCCAAGGTATACTGGTAAGGGAATCGGATCCCCGGGAATCAGTAGAAGTCAGATCTGGTAGGTCATGGGTCATAGCGACTGTGGGTACAAGCCTGTGGATACAGAGGTCGGGGGCTCACACAAGCTTAATGGTCTTGGGGTTGAAGGGCCCCACCCTGTAAAAGCTGTAGTTGGTCAGGCCTTCAGATAGTTTATGCCAGTCGAGCTCACAGTCCAGGATCATGTCTTCCTTTTCATGGACACTGATTTGTCGCACTGGGGAGAGGGGTTACAGTGATGTGCTTCCTCAGGATTTCTGGTTCAACCTCAACTCCCTCCCACGTGGTCTTGGCCCTGCCTTTTCTAATGGGCAGGCTTCAGTCTCCATCCCTTCAAGACTCCACCCGTCTTGCGCCAACCTCCAGCCCCTCCAAATGGCCCCACGTCTCTCACCCCCGCATTTAATGGACTTTTGACAAAGGTAATGGCGCTTTCGGCATATATGGCACCAGAACAGATACTGCAACATCACACCTGAAGGGGATGGATCAAGGCTGTATTTATCCTGACAGAGGAGACTAAAAGGAGAGGGCAGGGTCAAGGGCTGAGACGGAGGCGGAGCGGGGCGGGGGGATGTCAGGTGCCTAATCCCGGGAGGTCAGCCTAAGGGTCAGGGTTAGAAGGCAGTACTGCCAGAAGAGGGATCTAACCCAGCTCAGTAAGGAGCGCACATAGAATGGGCCCTGCTGCCCAGTAAGTTTGCAGTGCAGAAGGGCTATTGGGAACCAGAAACCTCTCAGATATGGGGAATGAAGACCCATCAGGACCCAAAGCAGGAGGAGATGGGCTGGGTTTAACCAGGGCGAGAATGAGGGATAGAAAACCAGCTCCCATAATCCGGACTCACCACATTTGTTGGGACAGAAACCTGTCTCAGAAGGAAGAAAAAAATAAAAGAAAAAGATGATCAGATTTCTAAGCTAAAGGAGATGAGACAGGGAGCGAAGGAATAGGTGGGTGTTTAGGCTCCTGGGTTGGAGGGATTAAGGACCCGGGTGCCTGGATCTCTGGGTCCAAGGGGGAACTAGGTCGGGAAAGGTAATAGGATAGGTATAGACAAACAGGGAGCTGGGGACAGGGACCCTGGGACTGTTGGAGGAAGGGACTGTGGTCCCTGATGGACTCCCTTTTTTTCCTCACCTCTCTTTTGCAACTCAGCAATGCTCTGCAGAAAGGTTGTCTTTTCCTGAGTCACCATCTCAATGAACTCCTTCAGGAAAGCGTCACCTGGGAAGCAGCAGGGTGACACGGAGTGCATCTCCTCCCTCCCCACCCCAGTAGTTAGGTAAAGAAAATTTGCTTCTGCCTGAAGAGCCTGGCATTTCATGTTGGGACCTTCTCAGGGAGGAACAATGAAATTGAATGACCACTTAACATGCTGGCCACTGAGCTAAGCGACGGCCTGGGTGCAGGCACTGTTATGATGTATTTTAGAGGGGACAAAGGTAGGAAATCCCTCCCGCAAGGCCACACAGCAAAGGGATGACCAGGGAAGAATTTGAACCTAGGCAGTTTGGCTTCAGAGCCAAAAGATTCTGGAGCCTCTCCCCTGGCCCATGTGTGCATTTACCTGTTACACCACGGTTTGTGATAAGTCTCAGCCTCCTCACAAAACTCAAGACTGAGGATTCCATTGTGGCTTCATCTGGAAGGACACAGGGGATGCGGGTTAGGAGATAGAACCTCAGATTCCAAACCTTGCTGTATCATTAGCTCGGCTAGTGTTAAAAACTACAATACCCATGTCGCTATTGGGCAAGGATTGCGCTGTAAGGCAATTGCCCGCCCGTTGCCTTCTGGGAGTTGTAGTCTTTTACATAAAATTGCTTTTTTTATGTAAAGCAAAAAAATATATATATATATATATGGAAGACGGGCTTTACCAACCCTGGGGAGGCCTGGATTCTGGATCCCAAACTTCTCCTTTCCCGAATATAGTAGTTTTTGCCTTCAGCCCTTCCGTCCCTCTCCCCCTGCCCCCTCTGCAGGAAGCCTAGCTTCAGACCCCTCCTTTCCCGGGACCCACGTTCTACGCTGCCCTCACCGACAATCCCAATAAATTTGGCCTTTACATCTGACAGGATCGTGAAATTCCTCACGGATTCATTTATCATTCTCATCACTTCTCTTTGACGCTCGGGGGCCACGTGGGTAGGCAGGTAATCCTTATCCAAGGAGTCCAGCGCTGCTACGACCCTCCGATCACATATGATACAGCCCCGGGCAGGAAGCAGGTAGCCGGATAGCACCCCCACCAGGAGGGCTAGTTGAGGACCCATTGCTGCCAGAGCGCTCAGCCCGCGCAGAACCCCGAGGAGGGTCCTCCCACCCCGCACGGAGGAAGTGATCGCTAAGGGGAAAGAAGCCCTTCCCCGAGACTAAGACCCCCAGTTTCCAGGGCTCCCACTTCTCGGTTAGGAAACCGAGGAGTCCGGAGTCCCGATGCACCCTTAACAGCCGCCGCCCGACCTTGAATTTAAAAGTTGTTCCCTCAAATACTAGGGTTCCCTGAAGGGCCGAATCCAGGCTGTAGAAGGGCCGAGCGGGCCACGTTCTTCCACTCTATTTTCCCCCGACTAAAATTAAGGATGTTGTTGGAGCGAGGCGGAGGCTGGTCACGTGACGTGGAGAGCTTTATGACTGGAGTCAGACTCGACGATCTCCTCAAGATATAAGGAATTCCCACAGCGTCCACCTTCTAGCTTCCTACTTGGGCCCCCGACTTCCCTAGAGACGCTCCCAGGGAGTTCCCTTGGCCCCGCCCACAAACGCAATCCGGAGTTTGATTGGACGGCAACAAAGGGAGGCTCCGCCTAGTTCCAGGATAACTCAGAGGCCGCGCCTCTTGGACTAGAACTTTCATCGTGTCCTCCCAGATGAGGCCCTCGAGGCGGTCGTGTTAGGGTGAAGGGGGTAGGCTCCCTTCCTCCTCCTGGCAACTGGCATGGACGATGGCTGGGGGCTGGCTTTAGGTTCTGATGGAGGAGTGGTGTGGACCCCCGCGCCCCTGCATCTTCCTCTGCTTCAGGTATCAACAGCACCCCGGGGCCCTAGCTCCGTTGCCGCTGGCGGTTCCAGTTCAATCTTTGCCTCTGCCCCGGCTCTCAGCACTGGCTGGGGGAGAGGAAAAGACCAGAGGAAAACCGGCTGGAAGAACGAGGAGGGGGCTTACCGCGAGGGGATAGGTTTGGGGGAGGAAATACTCCTCAGCCAGGTGACCCTGCCACTACGAAGGGACCAGGGTTCCCAGTCTTTCCTTCTAGGGCAGGAGACCAGCCCCAGACCTCTTCTTCGCTAAACCAAGAGTGAGGATCAGACCTTAGGAAAATGAATACCATATTTAGGCAACCAGATAAATCTTTATTTGTGATTGGGTGCTGTGGCCTTTTCCGTTGGTTCCGGCGGAACCTGGGTCTGTGACAGCGGGCTCTGGGACGGCCGACTCTCTTTAACCTCGTCCTGTGGGGCAGCTGCCTTGTCGGTGCGGAACCAGAGGTTTATGGAATGGATCACCGTCCCATACCGAAAGCAAAGGACGCTGGGGGAGGGTAGCAAACAGCGGAACCAGATTAGGCACTGAGTGAGGGACTTCCCCCCCGCCCAGCCTCCCTATATCTGATCGTTTCCTAGCAATAACCCAAGCTTCGCACACCTAGGTGAGCCCCACCCTGTTTCCTAAGCCCCTCCCCCAAGAGACCCCCTCCATTAGGAACTTGGAGACCCCGCCCGTCGCCCCAAGCCCTGCCTTCTGCAAGGGGCCGCTCACGCAGTGGCAAAGCCGATAATGAGAAACACAAAGCCCCAGGTCAGCATCTCTAACAGAAAGCCTCTCGGCTCTTTCTCAGGCTTCAGGCACTCTGACCGCTTGAGGGATCCGAACCGCTGGTTCTGGATTCCAGTGTTGGGTTTCGGTATCTCTTCAATGACTCTTTTAGGCAACACTGAGAGAGAAGGAGCAGTCCTGGGAGGGCACCTGGGAGGGCCCGCTGTGGCCCAGGCAAGCTGTCTCCCCCCCAACCTTCCCCAAGAGCCAGGCCTTCCAGGAGATAATCACGCCCCTCGGGGCCTGAAGACGGGTCACTGGGAGGGAGGACACACACACACACAGGGGCAGGAAGCCACACCCCCGTGGCCTGAAACCTGAAACCGCACGCCAATAGGAAGTTATGCCCCCAGGCCACGCCCTGAAGCTGACTGTCCCCCAAACCCAGAACCCTATATTCAACACTTCTGTCGACTCCCTGGCACTGACCTGTGACTTGAAAATGGATGACGGTGGCTGGGCCGGATCGCACAGTGCCCAACTCGCAGCGGTAGTTACCTGCATCCTCTGGCATCACCAGTCGTTGGGTCAGAGTGGGCCTTCTCCCCTTGTACAGCAAGGTCTCAGAATTGCTCCCCCAAACCTAGACCCAAGCTCAAGGGGTCACAGAGGCCTGGGGAATTCAGGACTTGGGGTAGTCCAAGTGTGAGGGCATCACGGGACCTCAGTGGGGGGAGACGGTAGTCCAGGGTACACTGGTAAGGGCATGGGATCCCCAGGGATCAGTAGAATTCAAACTTGGCAGGTCACGGGTCATAGGGATTCTGGGAACAAGTCTGTGGATACACGGGAAGGGTGTTCACAGAACCCTAATGGACTTGGGGGTGAAGGTCCCCACCCTGTAAAAGCTGTAATTGGTCAGGCCTTGAGAAAATTTATGCCAGTTGAGCTCACAGTCCAGAATCATGTCTTCCTTCTCATGGACGTTGATTTGGCGCACTGGGGACAGGGGGTTACACTTGGATACTCCTTCACGGTTCCTGGCCCTCTCTCCAGTCCCACCCACTTGTCTAGCCCCCCCCCTTTTCTGGCAGTCTCCCTCCACCCCTCTTGAGCCAACCCCTCCAGCTGGCCCCAGATCTCACCTCCACAATCTCTGGACTTTCGACAAACGTGAAGCTGCTTTTTACAGTTACTGCACCAGATCAGAAGCTGCAGCATGGTACCTGAAAGGACAGGATCAAGCCTGTATTTGCACTGAGAGACGATGCAAACGGAGAGGGCAGGGCCAAGCGCTGGGTTGGGTCAGGTGCAGAATCCCTAGAAATCAGCCCAAGGGGCGGGGCTAGAAGTGGTCCTGCATCAAGAGGGATCTAACCAGGCTCAGGAAAGAGCACACATAGAGTAGGGCCCGCTGCCCAGTAAGTCCACAGTGCCGAAGGACTGTTGGGGACCAGGAACACCTCAGACTGGGGAATGAAGACCCATCAAGACCCGAAGCAGGAGAAAGGCTGGGTATTCGTGAATCATATTTGAGGGGTAGAGACCAGCTCCCATAATCCAAACTCACCACATTTGTTGGGACAAAAATCTGCCTCAGAAGAAAGAAAAGAGAATAATGATCAGATTCCTCAGTTAAAGAAAATGAGAGAGTGGGGGAGGGAAGGAATAGGTTGGGGTTTGCACCCTTGGGTTAGATGGAGGAAGGACCTGGGTGACCGAATCTCGGGGTCCAAAGGAGGGCCAGATCCAGATAGGTGAGGGTTTGGCCATAGCAATCAAGGGGCTGGGGACAGAGACCCTGGGACAGTTGGAGGAAGGGGCTGTGGTCCCTGATGGACTCCCATCTTCTCTCACCCTCTCTTTGGAACCGAGTGATGTAGCCCCGAAAGGCTGCCTTTTCCAGAGTCAACATCCAGGAGAACTCCTTCATGAAAGTGTCATCTGAGAAGGAGCAGGGTGACATGGAGTGTTTCCCCTCCCCCTCTCCCCCCGGAGTGAGGTACAGGAAGTTTCCCTCTGTCTGAAGAGATTGGCATTCCATGTTTGGGACGTCTCAGGGAGGGACAATGAAATTGAATGACCATTTAACAATGCTGGCCACTGAGCTAAGCGACACCTGACGTGCAGGCACTGTTATGATCCAGATTAGAGGTGACAATCCTAAGTAATCTCTCCCTCAAGGCCACACAGCTAGGGGAAGACCGGGCCAGAATTTGAACCGAGGCAGTTTGCCCCCAGAGCCACTACCAGACCCGTCCTTGCCAAAAATCATTTTTTTTTAAATATTTTTTTAAATATTTATTTATTTTTGAGAGAGAGAGACAGAGTGTGAGCAGGGGAGGAACATAGAGAGAGGGAGACTCAGAGTCTGAAACAGGCTCCAGGCTCTGACCTGTCAGCACAGAGCCCGATGCGGGGCTCAAACTCACGAATTGTGAGATCATGACCTGAGCTAAAGTCAGACGCTTAACCGACTGAGCCACCCAGGCGCCCCGCCAAAAATCATTTCTATGAAAGATTCTGGAGCCCCTCCCCTGGCCCCTGTGTGACTTTACCTGCTACATCGCTGTTTCTGATAAGTTTCACACTCCTCAGAAAACTCAACACAGCCATGTGCATTGTCGCCTCATCTGGAAGGACACGGGATGCAGGGAGGGGAGACAGAACCTCAGATTCCAAGCCTTACCATCTCATTGGCTCAGCTAGTTTTAAAAACTGCAATCAATACCCATGAGTTTACCGGGCAAGGATGGGCTGTAAATGGATTGTTGGCCCTTTGCCTTCTGGGAGTTGTAGTCTTTTACATAAAGTTGCAGGGTAAGGGGTAGGGGAACAATGTATTGGCTAGACCTGAGAAAGGACTGGAATCTGCATCCCAGCCTTCTTCTTTCAAGAACCCAGCACACTCTCCCTGCATCCCTACCTTCCTTCCCTCCTGCCCCCTCCCACAGCAATCTTACAACCCAGACCTCTGCTTCCCCATGACCCTGGATTCCCTTACTCTACCCTGCCCTCACCGATAACCCCCATAAAGGGATCCTCTAAATCTGGAAGGTCCCGGAAATTCTCCACGGTTTGTCTTATCGTTTCCATCACTTCTCTGTGACGCTCGGGGGCAAGGTGGGTAGGCAGGTATTCCTTATCCAAGGAGTCCAGGGCGGCCAGGACCCTTCGATCACATATGACACAGCCCCGGGCAGACAGTAGGCACCAGGCTAGCGCCCCCACCAGGAGGGCCAGTTGAGGACCCATTGCCGCCAGAGCGCTCAGCCGAGCAGGACCCCGGGAAGCGTCCTCCGACCCCACGCAGAGGAGGTGATCGTTAAGGGAAAAGAAGCTCTTCTCCAAGACTAAGACCCTCAATTGGCAGGGCTCCCACTTCTCGGTTGGGAAACTGAGGAGTCCGGAGTCCCGATGCACCCTCAACAGCCGCCGCCCGACCTTGACGTTGAACGTTGTCCCCTGGAATACGAGGGGTCGCTGAAGGGCCGAATCCACGCTGAGGGCGTTTAGAGGCGCTGAGCAGGTCACGTTCTTCCAACCTTTATGCCACGACTAAAATTGAGGACGTTGTGGAGCGAGGCGGAGGTTGGTCACGTGATGTGGAGCGCTTTATGACTGGAGTCAGACTCGACAATCGCCTCAGTCGACAAGGAAATCCCACGGTCGGCGTCTTCCACCTTCCTACTTGGGCCCCCGACTTCCCTAGAGACACTCCCAGGGGGTTTCCTTGGCCCCGCCCACAAACCCAACTCTGAGCCTGATTGGACCGCAACAAAGGGAGGCTCCGCCTATGTTTCCAGGATAAGGCCGACCGCTCTCTCTGGGACTGGAACTTTCGTCTGGTCCTCCCAGATGAGGCCTTTGAGTGGTCGGGTTGGGGTGGAGGGGGTGGGGGCTCAGACTAATGAGTCTGGGTGGAGTTCGAGAAGGAAGGGAGCCTGCCTCCTGGGTGCTAGCTCTTGGGTCTCAGGGAGAAAGGGTGTGGACCCCCGGGTCCCGTGTTCTTACCGTGCTTCAGGTCCCAACTGCACCCCGGGACCCTGACTCCGTTGGCTCTGGTTGCTCCCTGACCCCGCTGTTCCTGTTCAACCTTTGCCTCTGTCTCAGCTCCCAGCACTGGCTGGGGGACAGGAAAAGGCGAGAGGAACCCCACTGGAAGAGTGGGGAGGGGACGGACCTGGGGGATGGAATCTGAATAGGGCTAGCTCTTCCCCATTCCTTGACTCGGGAATTACATCTCAGCCCGGGAGGCCCTGCCGCCACAAAGGGACCCCAGGAGACCAGCCCCAGACCTCTCCGCTCGGAAAACCAAAAGTAAGGATCAGAGTGGAAGAAATAAAGTCCAGTATTTAGACAACCAGAAAATCTTTATTTGTGACTTGGTACCGTGGCCTCTTACATCGGTTCCGTCGGATCCTGGCTCTGTGACAGTGGGCTCTGTGACATTGGACTCTCTGAAACCTGGTCCTGTGGGACAGATGCCTCGTTCCTGAGGAACCAGGACTTTACGGAATCGATCACCTTCCCAGGCAGAGAGCAAAGTATCCTGGGGGAGGGTGGGGTGCAAATAGCGGCACCAGATTAGGTCCTGAGGGATAACCCTCCCCGCCTCCCTCTATTTGATCTTCTTCTAGCAATGACCCAAGCTTGGCTCACCTTGATAATCCCTACACTGTTTTCTGAACCCCATCCCTTAAAGGACCCCCTCCTCCTGCATTGGGAAGTTGGAAGCCCCGCCCCTCTCTCCAAGTCCTGCCTTCTTCAGTGGGCGGCTCACGCGGTGACTACGCAGATGATCAGAAACCCACAGCCCCAGATCAGCAGCGCTACAAGGCGGCCTCTCAGCAGGTTCTCAGGCTGCGGGTACTCTGGCGGCAGGGGGGTTGGGGACAGCTGCTCCTCAGTTGCAAAATTTGATGACGGTATCTCCTCAATGATTCTTTGAGGCAACACTGATTGAAGGAGAGAGAAAGAGCAGTCCTGGGAGGGCACCAAGCTCCCCCGTGGCCCAGGCATGCTCCCTTCCCCGAGAGCCAGACCTTCCAGGGGATAATCACGACCTTAACTACCTAAAGTGCAACCAAAGGGGCGGTGGCCACATCCCTGTGACCCAGAACCACACCCGACAGGAAACATTGCCCTGCAGGCTATGCCCCAAGCTGACTGCCCCACCCCCGCCCACCCCAGGACCCTGAATCCCACACTTCTGTCCCCAGCACTGACCTGTGACTTGAAAATGGATGATGGTGGCTGGGCCGGACTGCACAGTGCCCAACTCGCAGCGGTAGTTACCTGCATCCTCTGGCCTCACCAAGGGCTTGGTCAGGGTGGGCTGTTTCCCCTTATACACCAAGGTCTCAGAATCGGTCCCCCAAACCTAGACCCAAGCTCAAGGGTCTCAGATGCCTGGGGTTTTCAGGGTTTGGGGTAATACAGGTGTGAGAGTATCACTGGATCTCAGTGGGGAGATGGGAGTCCAGGATATACTAGTAAGGGCATCGGGTCCCCAGGGATTATTAGTAGAAGTCAAACCTGGTAGGTCATGGGTCATAGGGATTGTGGGAGCAAGTTTGTGGATACAGGGGTCAGGCTCACAGAGGCCTAATGGACATGGAAGTGAAGGGCCCCACCCTGTAAAAGCTGTAATTGGTCAGGCCTTCAGATAATTTATGCCAGTTGAGCTCACAGTCCAGAATCATGTCTTCCTTCTCATGGACGTTGATTTGGCGCGCTGGGGACAGGGGGATAAGGTCAGGTGCTTCTTGGTTCTCCCTCAGCTTCCTCGCACTTGGTCTTGGCCCCCCTTTTCTGGTGAGCAGGCCCCAGTCTCCACCCTCTCTAGAAGGCGACTCTCCTCTGGCTCCTCCCCTCCTGCGCCAACCCCCTTCCCCCAGATGGCTCCAGATCTCTCACCCCCGCAATCATAGGACTTTCGACAAACGTGAAGCTGCTTTTTACAATTACTGCACCAGATCAGAGGCTGCAACATCATACCTGAAGGGGCAAGATCAAGGCTGTATTTATCCCAACAGAGGAAACTAACAAGAGGGCAGGGTCAAGGGCTGGGGAGGGGTCAGGGGCCTAATCCCTAGGAGATCAGCCTAATTAGTGGGGCTAGAAGGCAGTTCTGCTGGAAGAGGCATCTAACCATGCTCAGTGAAGAGCGCACATGGAATATGACCCGCTGTCCAGTAAGGACCAGGAACCTCTCAGACGTGGCGGGGCGGGGTGGGGGGGGAGAATGAAGATGGATCTAGACCCAAAGCAGGAGAAAGGCTGGGCATTATCCAGGGCAAGAATAAGGGATAGAAGACCAGCTCGCATAATCTGGACTCACCACATTTGTTGGGACAAAAAGCTGCCTCAGCAAAAAGAAGAAAAAAAAAAGATGATCAGATTTCTAATCTAAAGAAGATGAGAGAGGAAGCAAAGGAATAGGTTGGGGTTTGGGGTCTTGGATTTGAGGGAGGCAGGATCTGGATGTTTGGATCTCTGGGTCCAAGGGAGGGCTGGGTCTGAAGAGGTGAAGGGCTGGACATAGAGAAGTAGGGCCTGGGGACAGAGACCCTGACTTTTGGAGGAAGGGAGGCTGTGGTCCCTGATGGACTCTCATCTTCCCTCACCTTCTTTTTGGAACCGAGCCACATTGCGCTGAAAGGTTGCCTTTTCCAGAGTCAACATCCAGGAGAACTCCTTCACGAAAGCATCGTCTGAGAAGGAGTAGGGTGACGTGGAGTGCTTCCCCCACCCCCACCCACCCCAGGAGTGAGGTGCAGGAAGTTTCCCTCTGTCTGAAGAGCGTTGCATTCCACACTGGGGACTTCTCAAGGAGGGACAATGAAATTGAATGACCACTTAACAATGCTGGCCACTGAGCTAAGCAACCTGGGTGCAGGCACTATTATGACCCAGTTTAGAGGTGACAAACCTGGGAAATCGGTCCCTCAAGGCCGCACAGCTAGGGGATGACCAGGCCAGAATTTGGACCCAGCCAGTTTGGCTCCAGAACCAAAAGATTCTGGAGCCCTTCCCCTCGTCCATCTGTGCATTTACCTGATATGCCACTGTTTGTGATAAGTCTCACACTCCTCAGAAAACCTAACACGGACGTTTCCATTGTGGCCTCATCTGGAGGGACACAGGGGATGCGGAGGGGAGATAAAACCTCAGATTTCAATCCTTATGGACTCATTGTAGTGTTAAAAACTACAATACCCATGTGGCTACTGGGAAAGGCTCGGGCTGTAAGGGATTCACCACCTGTTGCCTTCTGGGAGTTGTAGTCTTTTACATAGATTGCAGGGTAAGGGGTAGGGGAACGTAGTATTTCCTGTCCCTGGGGAAGCCTGGAATCTGCGACCCAGCCTTCTCCACCAGAAACCCAGTAGACTCTGGCTCCAGCCCTTCCTTCCCTTGCTCCCCCCCCCCGGACCCCCGTCCCTAGCAATCCTAGCCCCAGACTCCCCCTTTCTCAGGACCCGGGGTTCCCACGCTCTACCCTGCCCTCACCGATAACCCCCATAAAGGTATCCTCTAAATATGGCAGGTTCCAGAAATTCCTCACGGTTTGTCTTATCGTTTCCATCACTTCTCTGTGACGCCCGGGCGCCATGTGGGTTGGCAGGTATTCCTTATCCAAGGAGTCCAGCGCCGCTACGACCCTCTGATCACAAATGACACAGCCCCGGGCAGGAAGCAGGCAGCCGGCTAGCGCCCCCACCAGGAGGGCTACTTGCGGACCCATTGCCGCCAGAGCCTCAGCCCCCGTAGAACCCCCGGATAGGATCCTCCCACCCCACACGGAAGAGGTGATCGCTAAGGGGAAAGAAACACTTCCCCGAGTCTAAGGGGAATTTGCAGGGCTCCCACTTCTCAGTTAGGAAACCGAGGAGTCCGGAGTCCCAATGCACCCTAAACGGCCGCTGCCCGACCTTAACGTTGAATGTTGTCCCCTGGAATACTGGGATTCACTGAAGGACCGAATCCAGGCTGAGGGCTTTTGGAGGGGACGAGCAGGCCACGTTCTTCCGCCCTATTTTCCCAGACTGAAATGAAGGATGTTGTTGGAGCGAGGCGGAGGTTGGTCACGTGATGTGGGGAGCTTTATGCCCGGCGTCAGAGTCACCGTTCGCCCAGATCTGCAAGGAATTCCCAAAGCCTCCCCTTCTAGGGGCGCCGACTTCCCTCGAGACCCTCCTAGGGAGTTTCCCTGGCCCCGCCCACAAACCCAGCCCTGATTGGACGGCAACAAAGGGAGGCTCCGCCTATGGTTCCAGGAGATCGCAGAGACCGCTGGCTTCTCAGAGTAGAACTTACTTCTCGTCAGTTCAGGCTTCTACAGCCACAGGCATCTGGCCTTCAGCTTCCTCAACCCTTAGTTTCTGGGCCCAGGCTTCCGGCTAGATGCCTAGGATCTTTTGGAATCTTTGGCGTCAAGCCACGAAATTGGGAAGTGGCGCTTTCTAACCCCAGGACTACGACTCCCAGGAGGACCCGGGGTGTCTCCCTAGCGGATTATCCCAGCCAGCCCCGGGGCTAAATGGGAGATTTAGGTCCAGAGTTACACCCGCTACTCACTCCCTCCTCCTCCCTCTCTTCCTAGCCTGGGGGGCTTGATGCCAAGGTTCCAGAGGAAAGAGAACCAGTCCTGAGAACCTGGGGCTCAGAGCTACGGGTCCTGGAAGGTTCTCTCTCCTTTTCTACATCACTGAATCAGACCACCATAAAAACCACCGGGACTCACACAAGCCTGAAAACAAGAGGCTGTCAGATCTGAGCAGGGACAACACTCCTAGACATGAGCAGTTCTGGATTCTCCCTCACACACACACACACACACACACACACACACACATACACTCGCACACGCACGACTTCACAAAACCTGCAGACAGGAGTTGATGATATGGACTTTTAATTCATACGTCTCTCTCTCTCCCACCTGTGGCCGCTGAACAGGGAATGATCCCTCAAAACTCCCTGAGAAAACTAACAAAGGGGCTTGCATTCTTCTGGGTAGATAGGGGATGCGGTCAGAGTTGCCTCTAATAAAGCTAGCTACCTTCATCCCCTTCAAATAGCATCAACTCTCTCTCTTTTTTTTTTTAAGGTTTATTTTTGAGAGAGAGATAGGGCGGGCAGACACACACACACACACACACACACACACACACACACACAGAATGTGAAGCAAGCTCCAGGCTCTAAGCTGTCGGCACAGAGCCTGACCCGGGGCTCGAACTCATAAACCGTGAGATCAAGACCTGGGTGGAAGTCAGAGGCTCAACCGACTGAGCCACCCAGGTGCCTTTAGAGACTTTCAAGCCCAAAGCCAGGTTGAGTGGCTCTGTGAAATCAGAGGAAAACCAGGGTTGGCAAGGATCACCATACCTGTAGCTTTCTGCAAGCCCAAAGGAAACATCTATGACATTTATGCTGGCTGAATTCCAGAAGATCGATCCCGTTATTCCCAACAACCCAGCTCCTGAGAAGGAAACTTTCTTAATTGAGAAAGGTAATCTTAACTCAGAGCCAACTTGTAAAGTGCTTGTCTTTGGCAGTTTCTGACCAAAAAAAAAAAAAAAAAAAAAGTCCCTAGGTTTCTGGAAGGTTTGCTCCATGAGCTCCTGCATTTCAGCATCCATAGCTCTCCCCCACCGGTGGAGGAAAAGTCCCAGGTTTTAGCCCCTCTGCTCAAAATAGAGTCTTTGGGGGCGCCTGGGTGGCTCAGTTGGTTAAATGTCTGACTTTGGCTCAGGTCATGATCTCGTGGTTCGTGGGTTCGAGCCCGGCGTTGGTCTCTGTGCTGACAGCTCGGAGCCAGGAGCCTGCTTCAGATTCTGTGGCTCCCTCTCTCTTCTGTCCCTCCCCTGCTCGAGCTTTGTCTTTCTCTCTCTCAAAAAAAAAAAATCTTTTTGTAATTTCAAAAAAGAGTCTTTGTCTTTTCCCTCCCCCCTTCCCCAAGGGCTGAGAGATTGGACAGACTTCCCACCTGCTCACAGGATGGATACTGTGTGTTCCGCCAGTCTTTCTGGCAGTGGCTGAGGGGTTGAGCTTCTGACTGTACCTTCCTAAGATTCTCTGGAATTCCAGAACCTCACTCCCTCCGGAGGAGCCCTGTAGGGTTTCGTCACAAGCCTCACCCCTGGCCCTCTCTAGAACTACTCCAGAAACACAGCAGGGGAGTTGATGAGGTCTGGAAAACCCATAAGTTCTTTCAGTCCTGAGGATTGAATTTCTCTTCTAGAAAAGACCAGAGGCAACATTAGAAGGGGAGAGCTCCCTGTTGTTGGGGTACAACCCTCCAGACGTGCCCTGGACACGTGCTGGGAAGAGCAGGTGAGGCATTGCCTTCCAGAGCTGACAGGAGCCTCTCTGGACGTTGCCGGGCATCAGGAAAAGATCTCCCGCTGGTTCTAGAACGTCCAGGCAGTTACAGAAAGCTGTCCTTTTTCTCAAAGTCTAGCCGACTAGAATTACCCTAGCAGCGGGTGCCCGCCTGCTACAGGTACCACGACCTTCTCCGGAAGCTTCTAGGCCTCCGGAGACGCAGAATGCTGGCCTGAGCTATTCCAGAAAAGTTGCCCTGCTGCTCAAGGCCCGGCCGGTGACTGGAGGGAAGACAAGTCTGCGTTAATGCCCACCCACTCGGGCAAGAAGGCAGCCTCGGGCTTAAAGATCTTCAGGAAGCTGGAGTCAGGCAGGGTGAAGTTGGCCAGGTACACAGTGTCCCCACCAGTCAGGTAGGCGGCCCAGAACCCAAAGGTGCCGATGGTCATGATGGTGTGGTTGCACTGCGTCAGCAGCGCGAAGTCCCTCCCCGGCGAGCCCTCCTGCCCGTTGCCGGCAAAAATCACATCCCCCCGGGAGGTGTCCATATTTTCCCGGCACCACTCCATACCGTTGCTGGTGACCACAAAGATGGGGTCTTCGTGCCGCGCCCGGAACCAGTCCATAGCCTGCTGGAGGTAAGCGCGATCGCCTACCACCCCCTTCCAGCGGAGGGGCATCACCTGGAGGTAGTCCCCACGGCGCACGTGGACACCCACAAAGGTGCGCGGGGGGTCCCCGGTGCGGCCCAGGCGGAGCCCACTCAGCAGACCCTGGGCCTCCCGACGAAGGTGGTCGTGCAGGGTGAATTCCCTGCGGATCTGTTCCCGGAGGTGGTGGAAGAAGGTCCAGGAGCAGGGGAAGCCCGTGAGCTTCAGCAAGGGGTCCGTCAAGTGGGCATACTCCTGTGACATCCAGTCGTGTAGCTCGAGCTCCCGCCAGGGCGTGTGGCTGTCCACGTCAGGCGCCAGCACGGGCAGGGTGATGCGGAACACGGGGGCGAGGGCGGTGTGCATGGAGGGCAGGATGAAGGCCCGGCGCCCGTTGAGCTGGGCCAGGGCCAGGAGTGTGGCATACTGCCCCATCTGGTTACCGAACCGGCCGTCTGGGTGGATGGTCCAGGTTCCCGAGAGGGACGCAGGGGGCTTGAGACAGAAGGAGGAGGCGTTGGGGGACAGGTGGAAGATGGCCACAGGGGACGTCATCAGGCGGCGGTCTGGACACAGGGCCGTCAGGGCTAGGCCATTGTGGAAGAGGTCTTGGTGGCCGTGGAGGAATAAGATGGCCGAAAGGACACAGACCAGGATGAAGGTCAGGCAGAGCTGCCGTCGGCTGGGGGCCCACATGGCTGCACGGGAGGAAAGGCGAATTAGCAGGTCCTCAGAGCCGGAGGAGAAGGGAATGTCATGGAGCAGAGGCCTGAGGGAACGAGGAAACTAAGGGTTTGGACTCCTGGGTTAGGGGATCGGGGTCCTGGACCTGAGGGAGAGGAAGCGGGCACCTGGCATTTCGGGGGCTGGGAAATGTTGAACACGGCTGCTTTCCGAGATAGTAAGGGGTCTAGGACTCAGGATGGCATCTCGGCATCTTGGAACCTGGCTCTCCAGGCCTGTAAGTCCCGCTCAAGTTGGGCTCTGTTCCACCAACTTCTTTTTTTTATTTTATTTTATTTTATTTTATTTTATTTTATTTATTTTTATTTATTTCTACGGGAGAGAGAGAGACAGCATGAGCAGGGGAGGGTCAGAGAGAGAGGGAGATACAGACTCTGAAACAGGCTCCAGGCTCTGAGCTGGCAGTCAGCACAGAGCCCGATGCGGGGCTCGAACCCACGAACCGCGAGATCATGACCTAAGCGAAAGTCGGACGCTTAACCGACTAAGCCACCCAGGCGCCCCACCACCAACTTCTTTCTCAAGTGAACCTGGGGGATGGGAGGGTAGGTGTAGACTCCGCCGTGGAGGTGAGAGGAAGAGACTGGCCAGGTAGGACATGTGAGGCTGGAGGCCCCAGGCTGGAGGGGGATCTCGGTTCCTGGACGAACAGGAGTTGGGGGTGGGGTGCAGACTCCTGGGGTGCTAAGGGGCCAGAGGCTGGGAGTGCGCCTCCCGGGACCGAAGGCCGCGATTCCGGCTCCCGGGCATCCTCCGGTCCCACTCACCTGAGCTCCTGGCGGGTGGCGGATCCACAGTGGGCTTAGAGAGGCTGGAGCGTGCCGACCGCAAGTGCAGCCCACATCCGGCCGCCCCCGGAACCCCGGACTCCGGGACCCAAGGCTCGGCTGCCCTCCCCTCCATGCCGCCTCCCCCGACTGGCTCCAAGGGCTCGGGGAAGGGAGGAAGGAGATGGGCGCGGTTCGGAGACTCACAGTCTCCGCCCCTCCCGAACTGGGCAGGTAGGTCGGAGGCGGAGCCCCGCCCCCGCCCGGGCGCCCCAGGCTAAGGGGGGAGCCCCCGCCCCCTGCCCTCCCAGACCAGGGGCCGCGCGCCCGCGCCCCTCCTCCTCCGCCCCGGGCAGCGAGCGGGCTCTCCGGGGCCAGCCTGCCTGGCCTCCGGCAGCCGCATCCTTCCGCGGACATGGAGATCCCGCGCCCAGCCGCAGCGCTGGACCCAGGCGTTCGGGTCCATCGGCTTCCCCCGCCTTCTCGGGAGCCTGGGCTGCCAGTCCGCGCTGAGCACCTGGATGCTCCGCGCCCGGCCACGCCCCAGCCGCTGGGGAGGGCCCAGACGCCAGGCCCGGGCGGGGACGAAGGTCCTCCGCCCTCCGCCCGGGTCCTCCCGGCGGGGAGGCAGAACCTGTTCGCCAGGCTGTTCCAGGAGCGGACGGGAAAGCTCCTCCGGCTCTCAGGGTCCCAGATACGGGAGCCCCCGTCTCCTCACCGTGCACCTGCACATCGCACAGTCGCGGCCCCCAGCCTCTCCTTTTGAGGGACGGTACGATCCGGGGTGCGACAGCTCCTTTCTAGACGGGCGCGTCCCGGAGGCAGCCTCCCCCGAGCACGAGGAGGAGAAAGCAGGAGGGGAAGGGCCTGCCCGGGAGGCCGGGGCCTCAGGTTGGGGACCCAAGTCCTCCGCTCCGCGGTCAACCTGTAGCGGTTTCTATTGTACGCGCGGCCCCGCCCACCAAGGCTGGAGCGGTGTGACCGTGTCACCCAATGAGTCAAAGCTAAAGGCCCAGGAATTTGTCCTCAGTCTGCAGAGAGTTGACCGTGAGGTCTGCAGCCCCAAGCGCCCCCTTCGCCAGACCCAGGGCTTCCAACCCCAGCCCCCCCTCCCCCCCGCCTCTTGCTGGAGAAGTTCAGATACCACACTGAAGGGTGTCCCCTCGCTGTACCTATAATTTCCGGGAAACCGCCCACCCCCCTACATTCCCTCAGGGCCTTAGTCTCACTTCCCGCTCCAGAGCCTGGCTCTGCCCCCAAGCGAGTCAGAGACTCTCCCCCTCCCCCCTGCCCTGCCCCAGGCTATTTTGCGAACACCTTTCTGGGCCTGGGGTAGCTTCTCTGGTGAAAGAGGTCCCGGGATTGCATCAGGGAGGAGAGGGAGGCTGGGATATTTGTGCAAAGGTTGGTGGGGTTGAGGTGAGAGGCTTTCCGGCCAGGATGCCTGTGTCCCTGCAGAGGACGCTTTGGGCACGTGGCATTGACTGCTCTCCTGATGATCGAGGAAATGTCATTGTGTGTGACCTCCGTGCTCCCCCAGAAACCCACAGAAATTCAGGCAGGGTGCAGCGGTTTCGGTTTATGGGACAGAGTCTGCATCTGTGGGCCAGGGAGGCAGCTTTCCAGGCCCTCAGCCTCTTTCACCCAAGTCCCAGTTCATCAGATCCCGGCCCCCCTGATCCCTCAGACTCAGGAGTCCAAGTCCCCAGCGGGGAGGACCCCCCTGATTGCATCAGCCGGTTCAGGCTTATCTGTCCACGGTGGAATCCTGGCTCCTGCCAAATGGGTCAAATAGCACGGGTCAGGTGTGGGGAAGGTGACTAGGCGGGTCTGCCTGGCTATAAATTTTGGAGCGCCTGCATCCGTTCTAAGAGACCGCGGTATCCTGTCAGCTGGGAATCCACGTCCCCGCGGACCCAGGCGTTGAGGCTCACTAAGGAGCCATCCGGGAATCTGTCTGTCTCAGATCCTGGTTGTCTGGGAACCTAGACCATTCTGCTCTTCAAGCCCCAGACCCGGGATCTCGCCTGAGGACGTGAGCCAGTGATGGGCTGTGACGAGGCCAGGTCCCAGCGCCTGGGACCGCGGGTCCTGATGATGCTGGCTGTCCTTTTGCGGGAAGTCTGCCAGGCACACCCGATCCCTGACTCCAGCCCCCTTCTCCAATTCGGGGGCCAAGTTCGGCAGCGGTTCCTCTACACAGACGACGCCCAGGAGACAGAGGCGCACCTGGAGATCAGGGGCGATGGCACAGTGGTGGGGGCCGCCCGCCGGAGCCCTGAAGGTGAGTGCGAGATAGGACCCCGTCTGAGGGAGGAGGGAGGGGCCGGGGGCCCAGATCCCTGGGTCTGGGGGAGGAGGGGCTGGGGGCCTGGACCCTTGGATCTAAGAGAGACGGGGCCTGGGCAGAGGTCCCCTGAGTCCCTGACCACTTTCTCCTCTCAGGTCTCTTGGAGCTAAAAGCCCTGAAGCCGGGGGTAATTCAAATCTTGGGAGTCAAAACATCCAGATTTCTGTGCCAGGGCCCCGACGGGACGCTATACGGATCGGTGAGTTTCTGGGGTCCCCTGCTCGGTCCTAGGACTCCCTCCTTCCTCATGTCACCTTCACCATCCGGGCGTCCCCTTCTCGCACCTTTGGCCTGAGCCAGGCTTGGTTCTGTGCTCTCTGCACGCCCCCTCCCCGCCTCCCCTGCGTGTGGGAGCTGACCTCATCATCAAGAGGAAACTGAGGCTCAGGCCTGGACACACCAGCTCCGAGTCGGTCACGAGGCCTGTGAATGACAGAGCGGCCGAGAGGCCGAGTCTTGTGACCTGTAACCCCTGCTGGCCACATGGGCTCCTACACGCCCGCTTCATGCTGCGCAGGGTTGCTCAGAGAACCCATGACCCGTGGGTGGTAGCCAGACGCCGCTGTCTGGACTCAGAGAGACTTGACTGGCCCCTGGGCTGGAATACTAGTCTCCATGAGGTGAGGACAGTGAGGTGGGCCTTGCAGACCTGCCCCAGGGTAAAGGGGGAGACTGCTTCTGTTTCTGAGCCCTGGAGGAGGGGCTGGGGGTCTGGACCCCTGGGTCTGAGGGAGGAGGGGCCGGGGGCCAGGACTCCGGGGTCTGAGGGAGGAGGGACTGGGGGCCAGGACTCCGGGGTCTGAGGGAGGAGGGGCCGGGGGTCAGGACCCCTGGGTCTGAGGGAGGAGGGCCAGGGGCCAGGACTCCGGGGTCTGAGGGAGGAGGGCTGGGGGCTGGACCCCTGGGTCTGAGGGAGGAGGGGCTAGGGTCTGGACTCCGGGTCTGAGGGAGGAGGGGCTGGGGGTCTGGACTCCTGGGTCTGAGGGAGAAGGGGCCAGGGGCCAGGACCCCTGGGTCTGAGGGAGGAGGGCTGGGGGCTGGACCCCTGGGTCTGAGGGAGGAGGGCCGGGGGCCAGGATCCCTGGGTCTGAGGGAGGAGGGGCCGGGGGCCAGGACTCCGGGTCTGAGGGAGGAGGAGTCGGGGGCCAGGATCCCTGGGTCTGAGGGAGGAGGGGCTGGGGTCTGGACTCCTGGGTCTGAGGGAGAAGGGGCCAGGGGCCAGGGCCCCTGGGTCTGAGGGAGGAGGGCTGGGGGCTGGACCCCTGGGTCTGAGGGAGGAGGGGCCGGGGGCCAGGATCCCTGGGTCTGAGGGAGGAGGGCCGGGGGCCAGGACTCCGGGGTCCCACAGCAGGAAGGTGTAGAGGAATCCTGTATCCCTGATGTCCGCTCTTGTCCCCTCAGCTCCGCTTTGACCCCGCAGCCTGCAGCTTCCGGGAGCTGCTTCTGGAGGATGGGTACAACATCTACCACTCCGAGACCCTTGGACTCCCACTTCGCCTGCCCCCCAACAACTCCGGGAACTGGGACTCGGCCTCCCGGGGACCTGCCCGCTTCCTGCCCCTGCCAGGCCTGCTTCTGACACCCCCAGAGCCTCCAGGGATCCAGGCCCCCGAGCCCCCCGACGTGGGCTCCTCGGACCCCCTGAGCATGGTGGGGCCTTCACAGGGCCGAAGCCCCAGCTACGCATCCTGAAGCCACGGGCCGTTTATTTATTGGGTTATTTGTTATTTATCTTATTTATTTTTTAACTTTTCTTTCTTGGTTAATAAAGAGTCTGAGAGGAGGATCAGAGTGAGCCTGTGTGAGTGTTTGAGGGAGGAAATGGGATCTGCTTCCTGGTCTCCCATTGATCCCAAGACCCCCTGCCCCTGTTGACAGGAGGCCGTGGGAAGGCGCCAGCCCAGCCCTCCCCCGGGGCCTCAGTTTTCTGCTCTGTTCGGGTGCCCCCAGGGACTTGACTATCCCTGCCCTTTGATGAGAGAAGGCTTGTTAGCCTCCCAACCCCCACCCCTGCCCACCCCCAGCTTGTGCTATGGAACTGTTTTTCTGAACTACCTCAATCACAGGGGGGACATTGAAACGAAGACACTGCAGACCTATAGCCTCATGGGAGATGTAGTTTTCTGGGTCCACTTAACACTAGGGATGTAGGGGTGTAATGGTGCTAGATGGGACTCGGGTCCTGAGGGATCAGAAAGCTGGGCATCTGGACACCCGCGTCCCAGGAAAACATAAGAGGAACCTGGAACCCTGTTCCCAGGGAGGGACTGAAGGATGGGAGTCCGGTTCTCAGGAAGAGGACTTGAGGATCGGAATCCATCCATCTGGATGGATGGACTTGGAGTGTAAAGACTGTCACAGAATTCAATGCCAGTGAGCGAGTTGCCTGTTCTTCCTCCCTGCCCCACAATCTAGAGTTCCATGTTGTTCTCTGAGTGATTTCCTAACTCTCCAGATTCATGGTCAACACCTGATGGGTCCCAGGTGTCTGACTCACTACCACAGCATCTCGAGAGTCCTGGGCTTGGGTCCTTTATTTAAAAAAAAAAAAAATTAACATTTATTCACTTTTGAGAGACAGAGTGTGAATGGGGGAGGGGGAGAGAGAGAGGGAAACAGAATCCAAAGCAGGCTCCAGGTTCTGAGCTGTCAGCACAGAGCCCGGTACAGGGCCCTACACGGGGCTCGAACTCACAAACCATGAGATCGCGACCTCAGCAGAAACCAAGAGTCAAACCCTTAACGCACTGAGCCACCCAGGCGCCCCAGGACCCTTCATTTTAATTCCAAGTTCAAATGCGAGGAACATCTCAGTGGAGAGGGAAGATAAGCGTAGGTCCCAGCAGGTCCCAGGATTCCATGCCTGGAGGAAACGAAGCTCTCCGTATCCCGGGGCAAGTGTGGTTTTCCACTCTGGTGGCACTAGGCTGGCTCCGGCAGGGAAAGCGTTGTCATCGGAAGCAGAGTCCGAAATGCCACAAAACTCACCAGGAAGCGTCCTTTCGTGGCTGGGGGTACCTTCACGTGGGGTGTAAGTTCCTTGTCAGAGGAGTCCACGTGACTGGAAAGTCCCCCCACAGCGGGGGAACAGCGAGCGGTGCGGGCAACTGCCCTGACCACTTCGCCTCCCACCCCACCTGCAAGCCGGCCACCATCTTGGAGAACAAGGACCTGGCGGAACTGGGCGCGAAGAAGAGGTACTGGAATGGGGGAGGGTCATAAGATAGACACCCAGAGAGAGGAAGTGAGAGACCCAGGAGTAGGAGAAGAGGGACAAACGTGGGGCTCAGCTGGCGGGGGGGATGTCAGTGATGCCGAGCGAGGGGCGGAAGAACAGGGAAGCCAGACAGAGAGACTACGAAACTGCAAAATGCATTAAACAAGCAAGCTCCTCTCACCCCACCTCAGGATGTTAACTTCCAATCGTGTGGTCTCTCTTTTCCACTAGAAGCGGGATAGTGTCAAAAATAAAACAGAAAGGGGTGGGGAGGGGCTCCTGAGTGGCTCAGAATCCGAAGCAGGCTCCGGGCTCTGAGCTGTCAGCACAGAGCCCAATGCAGGGCTTGAACCCACGGACCATGAGATCATGACCTGAGCCAAAGTCGGACACTTAGCCGACTGAGCCACCCTGGCGCCCCTAAATTACCCTCTTTTTATAAGGACACGAGTCATATCAGGTTTAGGACTTGGTCTTGATCCAGGGCGATCTCATCTTAATTTGATTACATCGACAAATACCCTCTTTCCAAATAAGGTGACATTCACAGGTTCCAAGTGAACGTGAATCTCCAGGGGATGCTGTTGACCTTGGTGCACACCTCTGCAGTCTGGTCTTGCTCACCTGTCAGTACGTTTAGGAGGGGTGTGGGCCAGGAGGGCTCTCCTGGACTCAGAGTTCTTAAAGTTCACACTTTGTTCTTTCCATACAGTATTGAAGGATATATGGGGCGCCTGGGTGGCTCAGTCGGTTAAGCGTCCAACTTCGGCTCAGGTCATGATCTCGTGGTTGGCGAGTTTGAGCCCCACGTCGGGCTCTGTGGTGACAGCTCAGAGCCTAGAACCTGCTTCAGATTCTGTGACTCCCTCTCTCTTTGTTCTTCCCTTGGTTGCACTCTCTCTCTCAACAATAAATAAAGATTTAACAAAAAATTTTAAAAAGAATATAACATCTTAGGGACTCCTGGCTGGCTCACTCGGAGGAGCGTGCGACTCTTGATCTTGGGGTTATGGGTTTGAGCCCCACTTTGGTATAGAGATTATTTAAAAATAAAGTCTTTAGAGCTCCTGGGTGGCTCAGTGGGTGGAGCGTCTGAATTTGGCTCAGGTCATGATCACACAGCTGGTAAGTTCGGGCTGGTGAGTTCGAGCCCTCTAATCGGCCTCCCTGCCCTCAAGGCAGAGCCCACTTCGGATCCCCTCCCCCCCCACCCCTACGCTATTTGTACCCTCAGTCTCTCTCAAAAATGCATAAACACTTGGGGCGCCTGGGTGGCTTAGTCGGTTAAGCATCCGACTTTCGCTTAGGTCGTGATCTCGCGGTTCGTGGGTTCGAGCCCCGCGTCGGGCTCTGTGCTGACTGCCAGCTCGGAGCCTGGAGCCTGTTTCAGTCTGTGACTCCCTCTCTCTCTCTGACCCTCCCCTGCTCACGCTGTCTCTCTCTCTCTCTCCTAGAAATAAATAAAACATTAAAAAAATTTTTTAAATGAATAAACACTTAAAAAGTAATAAAATATTTAAATCAAGCAGTCAATCAAAATATAACCTATTAGTATATCCACTTCTCCAAAATTTCGTAGAAAGATCTACCTCTGTTTCCTCCCCTACCAGCACCCGAAGCTTCTCTCTCCTTTACTCCCAGAGTTCCTGCTAAAATCAGTGTAAGGGTTTTCCTTACACTGACTTTCACAAGAATCGAGCTTAGTCCAAGTCCTAAAAAGAAAAGATAATTATGAAACCTGCTATAGGTGTTCATAACTACTACAATGGCAATCATATGATGATATGTAAATGTACCAAATTAAGATGCTTCTGCATCTTAAATTTATACAATGGTGTATGTCAAATACGAGCAGGGGAAGGGGAGAGGGAGAGGGAGAGAGAGTGAATCCCAAGCAGCCCCTCCCTGTCAGCGATTCGGGGCTCGAACCCACGAACTAACTGTGGGATCGTGACCTGAGCCAAAACCGAGAGTCAGATGCTTAACCGACTGAGCCACCAAGGTGCCCCATAAGTTTATTTTATTTTGGAGAGAGAGCTTGCACGCGCAAGGAGGGGAGGGGCAGAGAGAGAAGGAGAGAGAATTCCAAGCAGGGGGCTCGATTCTAGGACCCTGGGATCGTGACCTGAGCCGAGATCAGAGATCAAGAGTCAGATGAGGTGCCCCCAGAGGGAAAGTTCCCGTCTCGTAAGTTTCCTTTTCTCCCTGTGCCGGTACTGGTTTGGCCCCAGTCGCTTGTACTTGAGGGGTTTGTGGGGCTCCGTGATCGGCTGGTTTTGTGCGAAACTTTGGTGAGCTTCTGTTATCATAGTTGCTCTACGTGGGTCTGTTCTTGTTGTTATTGTGGGGGTACGGGGCGAGGGGTGAGGGTGCAGGTGGAGGTTGGGAAGAGGAAGCCGCTTGTGCCGCCTAACCTGAACCCAGTCGGGAAGGAGGAAATATTTTCCTATCAGGAGACCTTCTGCAAAACAACCAGCCTTGGGTCTCTAGAAAAAGTCAAGGTTAAGAAGGACAAAGCCCCGGAGGAAATGCTCATATTAATGCAGTGTTCTGAGCAATCAGGTGACATCCCGGTGGTGAGGAAGACACTTGATGAAATTTGAATGAGTTCAGTGCATTAGACAATAGTAATTGATCCATGGGAAATTTTCTGATTTTGATGATTGCATTGTGGTTATTCAAAAGAACGCCCTTGTTCTCAGCAAATACAAATACACACCGAAGTACTTAGGGACAAAAGGTCGTGGTATCTCTAGTGTTTTCTCAAATGTTTCTGGAAATGTAAATATATAATAATACAGAGAGATAGCGACCGGATGATAAAGCACAACACGGGGGCGGGGCGGGGGGGGGGAGGTTGGGAACAGCAAGACTTGAAGAGCCTGGTAATAGATACATGGAGTTCTGTGCACAAGTCTTGAAACTTCTCCATTAAGTTCAAAATCATATCAGGTAAAAGCTACGCCTGTGAGCAAAAAATCCATGCTGCGGCCCCTGTTTTCATCTGGCGTCTTTCCAAACATCCTTCTAAATGTGTGGACGAGCTTCTAAGGAGAGGGGTGCCTGGGTGGCTCAGTGGGTTAAGCATCTGACTTGGACTCAGGTCATGATCTCACGGTTCGTGGGATCGAGCCCCGCGTTGGGCTCTGTGCTGACAGCATGGATGGAGCCTGCTTGGAATTCTCTCTCTCAAAACAAATAAATAAACTTAAAAACCAAAGAAGAAAGAAAGCTTCAAGGAGATTTTCTTATTTCTGCTTGGGGTCTGAGTGGAAGTATATGATACTCCATTGGAAATTATAGACCACCCCTCCCAATCTCATGTGGACATCCCCAGGGCTAGGAATGTCCCTGGGTCTCCAGCCAAAGTAAAGGCAATGCTTCTCTTGAGAGGTGTCACTCAACTCCGATGGCACAGAGGAAGTCTTGAGTGAGCGCCTAAACCAAAGTCACGAAATACGGGAGTGATCTAGGCACATGGCCCACCAAGTTCATTGAATAGGACTAGACCGCCTCACTCCACTCCACCCTGCAGTGACTTTTTTTTTTTTTAGATTTTATTTTTAAGTTTG